GTTTGGAATTGTCAAAAATCCGTGACTTCTTGAAATGCCGCTTTTGGCGTTGTAAATTTGCTAGGCTACCGCAGTTCATTTGATTGGCAAACCAAACTTCCATTAATATAAGAACTTTCGTATGCATATAACTTGAGATTGCATGGTTCAGCATCGTGTGTTGCATGTTCCACAGGCAATACATGGCTGTCTTCCCCCGTCAATATTTGCATAACATTCAAAGTATGCAAACAACATTTTCCTCCTCGAGATTTACATTTGCAAGTCAAAGAAGAACTGGCACAAGATTATCAGACTGTGAGGTAATTGTGCTTGTGAAACAGCGCCCAAGCTCACCTTTTGTGTCACTTCAGTGTCGATTTGCGGTCAGTCACTGCAGTTTCAGAAGATATTCAGGGTTGGACGATGCCTGTTATCTTACACGTTGGGCAGCGTCCGAAAGGACCTAGTATGAGTCAGTATACTGCATTATCTCCGGTGATCTTATTTTCAGAACCGAATGCGTCTTTTAGGAATACATGGCAGTGAGCAAAGCCTGTGTCTGTTGTGATGTTACTGCATCCGGATGGCATGGGGCCAGGAATGGTCTTTAACAGCTTCCAACATGCCCGCCACGTGTTGCATCCAATTACTTGCTGGATTCGTGTTTAACTGTAAGGACAAGAAAGTTTTCAAACCTGTCGAAAACTACGGTCACGTTATTTTTTCCTGTTTCCTTATTTCAGCCATGCAAAGTATCAGTTTACTGCCTGGCCTAATATACCACCCCAGCTCCCCGAATTCCGCATCACTTGTGCGATAAGCACAACATGCAGCCCATCCAAAACTCTTGGCTACCAACATGTAGCCATTTGACCCAGGTATTCTTCCAGCTGGGGGCCAGTTTTAGCTCCAGACCTGAACCATAACAGATAACTAGCCAAATCTGCCTCAAACCGGAAGTAAGGTAAACTCTCAAGTATCGAGAGTGTGTGGAGAAGAAAAACGAAATATATTTTCGTTTGCCCAGCACTCTGATATGGGATTCGGTTGTTTCTTTCAGTTAATTCCAGCAGACGGTGGTTCCGGTGAATGCAGTTCTCTGCTTCCGCTAATAGGCGGACCCGAATTGAGCGTGTGTCCAAAATGCTTTACATCCCTTTCTCCTTGAAAATTTAAGTGAAATACTTCCTTGACAAACTACATCCCGTGTAGAATTTGGCGTTAAAGTGTATGGATATTCTCTTTTCCCAAGTTCTCCTTATTTCAGTGGTCAACCCCTTAACCGGTAATACTGAGACGATGACAGGTTTGTCTATCGAACAGTTAGCGGTATATTAGTGTGCCCATGAATTTGTATCTCAGCTCAGGTGATCTAAGAAGGATTTCGGTAGAAGAAGCATTCGTTTGAGCGGCTGAGTCACCTAGACCTAGTTGGTGACTAGTTCTTGTGCCCGATAACTTAGGCACATAGAATAGTAGGTAATGGAGATGAAGTTATCAGCGATTTATTCTCCGAGCCCAGGTTGTGACATCAAGTGCACATTGTAATGCTGCTTGAAGGACCCCAATGACGTAGCCCGATCAACCACGGGGAGGGAACTCCAAGTCCCAGCAACTCTTTTCGCGTAAGAGCCATGTCTGATTTCCATCCCACCGCGATCAGATGCTCGCATTTGGGCGCTGCACCTAAGATTCGCTCTACAGCTTAGCGTGGGCAAGCGGAGGAACAGCTGACCGGAAGTACCTGCAGTACCATTCACCATAACTACTAGGCCACCTCTCAGTCGTCTGTATTCCAAGAAATGCAGACATAGTGAGGCTGTGCGTGCTCAGGATGGCTTGAACATAAGTCCAACAACTGATTAGGTACAGTGCACTTATGTGCCTTCTACCAACACACCGATGCCGCTAAGTTGCATTGCGTTGCGGTCGTCTTTTATTTCTCCCCATAAATTTATGTAGTCACTGAGTGCGGGCGTTTAAGGGGACGCTTTGACTGGCAACCAGTGATGTGGGTGGAAGATATGAGAGGTGACAAAACCAAAACCTAAAAGGCCCCGTAACAGGTAAAATCCAATAATCTTGGACGGAACACGGGAATTAGCTAGGCGGTGCCAAGTAACATGAATCTGACTAGTTCCTGCGTTCTACTGTATTTCTTCCGAACTTCCACGAGTGACGCACAGTCAAAGGTTGGATCAAAATATCAAAACATGGTTTGTAGTAAGTCAATGGTAGAGTCGTAACATAGTCTGTGGTGCTATCAAAGCAGCAACAAGTTATATCGAAATTACAAAAATACCCCAACATTGCCGTTGGGTAACTATACAATCCGAACGTTATCTGGTGCAAATGCGTACTATGTGGGAAAAACTGGTTAAACATACGCAATTGTTAAGTGCCTGACAGTCAATAAGATTATTCTCGACTAAAAGGGATCAAAACTCTGTCTACCAGAATCAAATCAGCAAATAAACGTTTCCAGTAGACAGTCAAAAGACAAACAGTCAAATCACAGTACGACCGTAAGTTGGACCAAAACAAAATGTCAGGCGAAGTGAAACAACGTCATGTAGTTAACAGTCCGGAATCACGTGGTAGGAAAGTGAAACATTCATGATGACTCTCAACTATACAAAGGCAGATACTGAGTGCAAAGTCAAAGAAGACAGCCAAACAACCAAATAACATTACACCGGCTGGGGTCAAAGGCACACCATCCATAAGGATGGTAAAAATATTCAAATAAATGTCGATGCTACCAAATAGGGTGATCAGGAGGCATTTTTAGATCATTTTCCCGTTGCAGGCTCCATTGCTGCATCTTCCTTCTTTTGTAAATATTAAAGTTCACTGCAACTCTACCGGAATGGTGTCTAAAATTTTTTGGTAGGCAGCAGATTAACGGTTAAGGAACCCCTGCTAATTTATTTGCTGATACAGGTGCGGTTGGTGCAGACAAATGCCATTGGAAAATTGAGGCTCAATACATCAATTCCTCGACGATCAGAACTGTTAGTTCATCTACCTGCTGCAGTTGGCAGGTTAGTCATACATGAATATCCTTTTCTAGCACCGTGCTTGTGCGGTGCAGAACGGCTAGTGAATATCAGGCAGTTGCGCAAACCACAGTAAATGAGCTCCTGGATCATCTGCAAGGATGTGAACGGTAGAGTCACAGGCCTATATTTCGCCGGCCGTCCTTGAAAATGGGTGGGACATGACTAAGCTTCTGAAGTTCATGCATTATGCCCCGCTTAAAGCAATGTGTGAAAAGCCTGTAATGCTGTTCATTGAGAAATGGGATTCATGTGTTTATTATAGTTCTTAGGATTTTGCGCTGGTTTGAAGGTGTGGCCTTTTTTAAGGTTGTCATGTCACAAACACTGGACTGGCACCCAGATTAATGGTTGACAGTCGTAGTGTTACTCTGGGTTGCGTATATTTTTAACAAATGCAGTCGATGTCCAGAAGGTCTCCGAATATTCATCAGACAAGATATTGGCGCCTTCAATATGGTTAGTAATCGACCCACTGTCAAGCATCAAACGGGAAGCTTCTTGGCCTAGCGGAATGATGTTACGTAGACTAAAGACCTTAAAGGATTCGGTGCGAACATGTTAATGAGCTCAGGTTGAAACGGATGTTGGTCACCCCTCCAGGCCGCGGTACAGGGTTTGCTCGTTAAGGTGAATTTTTCGTATGCGGTCTCACAGCAAGTCTAATGCTAAGGTCGGTAGTGTCTTCTTAATCTCAGAAGTTTGGGGGTTTAGTGGCTCGTTATTTTGAGATGTTTTCGAAAGTTTGAAGCTGAAAGTTGTACGCACTGGTTTATGGTGCATGCTACTCTGTTGTGCATAAACATTCAGTGCATATTTTTTATCCTGGCAACGGTGGTTACTTTCTCACTCCACGTTCTTCGGGGCCCTACGAATGGCTACAGCGTAAAGTTATTCAAAGACCCCTTTATAATGGTTTACGGATAAAGCATCTCCACTTAGCAGACACACTACAATTTGGTGACAGTGGCATCACTCTTGCACAATAGAGGAAGTATTTAAAGTTTGCAAACTAAAAAATTGTTGCTTGTGAGAATTTAGTCTGGGCTGTAAGGGCCCGATTACTTCTCCGCCAGCTCGCTGAAACCAAATTTTCTGTAAGTTCAAGTTGCTCAAGAATAACAAATTATCTCAGTTGCCACTGAAATAAATGGCTTCACTAGAATATAGTAACGGTGAATATGTACAGTTAGGTCACTCGGTGCATTTTAAAACTTAACTTAACTACACAAACTCTGAAGTAGTGTGGATGCAAAATGACCATCGAAGGTAAGACTACTACAAAAAACTCCTACATCGAAAGATGATGGCACAGAGGTGGCGGTAAGCAACCTACATGACTTAGGGAAAATCTATTGGCTGTACTCTTCGAAACATTGGATCATCTTAATATCAGGTTCAAATACCCATCGAAATCGGTGAGTCATGGGTGTTTTGCTTTTAACAAACCGCTAGTTAGTGAAGCCCCTCGGGTACATTCTTGGTGTCAGAACCCGCCGCAGTAGTCTTAAGTGTCACTCACATTCTACGGATTAGGGATTGTGAACATTATCTTGTCAAATGCAATTAAAAGCCACGAATTCCTCACACTCGCTCCAAATCTGGTTGAAAGAAAAGAAATAATTGCACTTTGGGACCTCGTTGCTCAGTTGGCACAGCATCAGCCTGGATGTCAAAGGCAAGTGATAATGCACCTCCGGCCAAGGAGACAAGTGAGCTGTATAGACATCATCATAAGTTTTGGAAGTTGTTGAATCGACAATAAATTATTTAGCGGATTTGTTTCCTACTACAAACAGACCGTAAGTAGAGGTAGAAAATTCGAATCAGTTTGATGATCACTTTCAATAACACTCTCCTAATGTCTGACTGACAGAAAAATGAATCCATCGGGTTTTTCAAACTCAGTGACGGAAACAATTTTGTTTGAATTTATCAGTTAATCAGACTTGTGCTCTCTGTTATTAGACCACCAATATTGATTTGTCAACGATCTTTTGTACGATAACGCGTTTGGAACAATGATATGTTTGTAATGGAAGTTGTGACTTTGACTTTTCGTGCAGCAAAGTGGAAGTTAAGTTGATGGGAAAATTCTGATTTAAGGAGCGAACAACTGCTGTCAACAAGTCTCTAACATGGAATCACGTGAAACAAAAAATTTAAGGTTTGAAGATATTAAATATTTTGTCATTCAGGGGAGAGGTATTTTGCGATACTCTAAACTCTTTGATTTGACAGCTGGGAAGAAATTCATTCTTAAAGGAATAACTGGGGAGTTTAAATCTGGTGAATTAAGTGCAATTATGGGACCCAGTGGAGCTGGCAAAAGTTCACTTATGAATATTTTAGCTGGATATTGTACAAAGAACGTCATTGGTGACGTTTATGTCAGTTCTTTGCCAAGAAACCTGCAGCAATTTCGGAAGATGTCTTGTTACATTATGCAGGATGACTTGTTACTTCCACATCTGTCCATAGATGAGGCGATGATGTGCAGTGCCAACCTTAAATTAAGCGAAAAAACTAGTCATGCATCAAAGCGAAAAATTGTAAGTTTTTGTGACTATGATTTTGCCGGTTCTTTAGAGTGACGAATAACTCATGAGTACCTAAATATCCAATAAATTCTGCGATAATGCCACTTCTGTACTACTTAGGGTTAGAATATCAACAGGGAAAAAGTTTTTCACCAGAGGCAAAAGAGACTTCCATTCCTATACATATCCATGAATGTAACTGCTTGAAAATCTCAGGCGTGCTACTTTCGACTGATTTTGATATGAGGATATTTAAATGATTGGTTTTAGATAAATAAAGGTTTCCATTCCTTAATCATTACTCCTGTGGTTTATCTATTTCTTTCCTTCATATCCGTCAGTATGTTCCTTTTTTATCCAAAGAAGTGAAGCAGTTAGGTTCCGTTCATAGGGAACGATCAAAGGTACATTTATTTTTAACTGTTTCCTAAATTTGAGCATAGTTTTCTAGATACCATTGGACGTTTTTCAGATTAAGAAGTGATTCTATAACTTTCGGCTAGTCTTTAGTCAGGAAGCGAACTTATGGTGTATTAGAAGGGCGCGACTAGATTGTGCACTACAATGGGCAAATAGGCTACTTTTATCTATTAGCATCGTTAACCTTTGGGCTGATGTTTGCTATCATGAACAGAAATCGATACTATTCTCGAAGAATAAGTGATTTTAAGTTACTGCAAGTAATCATTACTCTGAAGTCATTCACCTCTTCTTATTTACTTGTTCATTTGTGTTGGCCTCAAATATCTAAAACCTATTAGAGTAGATATGGTTGAACATAGCTTTTTTTGAAACAATTAGTCCCTTTAATAAATTTCGACAACGCTATTGGAAGACGAAGATTATCTGAAAAATGTGATGTATTTGCGCAATAAATTTCCCTATTCTTTCAACTTATTTGAAAGAACTCCTTTTATTATGTACTGATAAGGTTCATTTCACTTTCGAAGGTGAACACTTTTGGCAAACTGATGGTGTAGCCATGGGGAGCCCATTAGGACCGTTATTTGCTGATGTATATATGTCAAATACTAAACTAATGGCTCAAGATCTAATTACCAATGTCACACTCTATAGAAGGTATGTAGATGATATCTTTGTAATATGTGACACAGATGAGGATGCCAAGAGGTTGTTAAAAAGGCTTAATATCGTACAAGATCATATCAGTCTGACATGTGAGGAGGAAAAAGACCATCAAATTGCATTTCTTGAGGGAGGGAAGATGGATCTATAAGACGATCAATATATAGGAAGCCTACTTGGACAGGACAGTATTTGAATTTCCATAGTTTTTGTCCGATGAAATATAAGAGAGGCTTGAAAAGATGCTTGTTCAATAGAACCCAACGTATTTGTACATCTGATACGATGGATGATGAGAATAAGTTTCTGACAGACACTCTGGTGGAAAACGGTTATCCACTACAGTTTGTCAACCATTGTAAAAAACAGCTGACCCCAAAGCCTATAGTTTCCTCGGTCCCGAAGAAAAGCATATTTCTTAAAGTACTATACAGAGGGGAAACAAGTACTATGATATTGAGGCAGAGATTAAAATCTGTTATCATCAGTAAAACATACTATGCAGCTCAGCTTATCATTGTTGAGACAACAAAACACCTGCTTCACCACAAACCTCAACCTTTCACAAATGATTACATCACATCCTACTGTGTTTACCAATTCACACGTATGCGTGGGCGCACATACATTGGGGGAGTAATCGTTCAATGCAGACTAGGGTGGGTGAACACATCCCCAAATGGCTAGAAAAACAGTTTAACACACAAACTTTGATAAGTGCAGGTGACAGACATCCATTGTCATCTATAGCAAAGCATATTATTGAAACGAATCACAGGGTTAATACGAAAACAGCGTTTAAGATATTATACAGGGATAATCAGGGGCGCATACTGAAGTTTGCCGAAGCGTTAGCCATTCGTAAACTTAATACCCCGCTGTGTGTACAAAAACAATTTGTTGCTTCACGTAATTTACTTTGGTAATCCTTATCTGATTATGTTACCAAGACTAGTGTCACAACCTTTTAATATTCATTATATTTGATCTTTAATTTTCATGTATAAATTGACTTGACAAGTAAATATGTGATCAGACTGTTCGAAATGTATTGCGCAAATACATCACATTTTTCAGATAATCTTCGTCTTCTAATAGCGTTATCGAAATAGTTTTTTTGCTATATCATGTTAATGTGATACCAAAGATTCTTTCTGAACATTCAGAATAGAGATACAGATTTTCAAAGAAGTCGAAAACTATCACTTTCTCAGTTTAAAAAAGGAGATTTGGGATATTTAATCCCATTTGACATTTTAATGAGTAAATATCCAATGAAGATGACATCGTTTGCGGCATCACAGAATCTATTTCCAGGGGGTTTCAAGAGTTATAGACAGGTGGTAAAATGATGTCTGGTTATTGACGTAGTCATAAATCACCTAAAGAAAAGAGGTTATTTTTGTACCCATTTTAATTTGGGTTGTTGACCTTCGAAAGTTCTGTGTAAAATAATTGACTACAGATCTTTGTAGCTTGCAAAGTTCTGAGGAAGATTCGTCTGTTTGTCAGGTACCATGAAGAGCAGTGTGGACAGTCATATCTATATGAAGGTTTCCGTTTTGCAGCCAGCTGGTTATCACAGATGAATTTGCGGCAAAATATGGTTGACTGGAGTCTACAGCACTCCAACACACTTCGATGAAATAATTTTACTAGCACTTTTAGAGATAATTTCTCTAGAGAGAGGTTATTGGTGTAATAAAGTAGTCAAGTCACCCTAAAGCAAGGAAGGTATGGATAAAACAGTCGAGTAGCTCATCATATTGCGGATCACACCATGATGAACTATTAAATGGTGGTACGGTAATTTTAATTGGTCAAGGTTCACGTTACTCATTGTTTTAGTAGTCGCCAAGGGAGAGAAACAAGGTTACCTCTTCGTAGAACTCATCATTCTACATGTATCGTTCTGCATTGTCCGGATCCATTTAGGTTATTTCTGTTTTCCTTGGATTTATGGTGTTTTGGTTAATAAACGGCTGTGGATTTGTAGTTTTTTGTGTGGGCCGGGAGTTAACTAGGTCAAGCAACATGGTAACATAAAGTGAACTATGGTTCGAGAAGCGCTCGGTGAAATGAACGAGAATGGAGAGCTGTTTGCAGACTTCTGCGCATTCAACGATTTGGTGATTGGAGGCACTGTGTTCAAGCACAAGGATATCCACAAAGCGACATGGACTTCACTAGAAGCCAGGATACTTAAAATCAGATCAACTCCATCCTAATGGGAAGAATGTGAAGATGGGACGCAGCCTACTTGACACGAGTTCAAGAAGGCGAGCGTATGTGGGTTCAGACCACTATCTCGTGCAAGAAACCTACCTTCCAAATCAAGTTGAAAACCTTCAAAGAAGTTGACGGTGGACCACAGTTTAAGTTCAAGACAAAGCTACAAAAGAAATCTTCATGTCAGTCATCAAGACAAAATGGGAGATATCGAGTAACATCCCTGAAGAAACCTGTGTGGATGAACACTGGAACTCTGGGAAAGCTGTGTGGAAAGGAACCTGCACGACCGTATTAGGGAGGCAGAAGAAAGAAGATAAGGAATGGATCTCAACGGACACATGGAAGCTGACAGAGCAGGGTGAGGAGGATGGTGAAGCAGAAGATAAGCCAGTGCAAGGATGCACAACGAAGAGGACCTGAGTACAACGTATGAAACACTGGACAAAGAAGTGAAGAACAGTGTGCACAAGGCCAAAAGACACTCCAATGACGAACTGACAAGTGAAGTAGAACGGTCTGCAGGTAGTAGAGACCTGGCATCTTTGGATCAAATAACTATCTTGGGAGAGATCGACACAAATGAAAGCAATAAAAGATCATGAGAAAATCTAATAACCAAAGAAGAGGAACAAAGGAAACGATTTTCTGACCACTTCAAAAAGCTCTTGAATCGACCACCACCTACACTTCGTCCAGAAATACCATCAGCAGCCCAGCCACAGAACTACCAGTCAACACGAGCTCTCCGACAAAACTCGAAGTCCTGAGTGCCATAAAGCTACTGAAATGAGGGAAAGCAGCAGGACCAGATGGAATTCCACCAGAACGAACCCAAAACAGACGCAGAGACAACGGCGGACATGCTCACACCACTACTGCAAGAGGTCTGGCAGGAAGGATAGGTAGCTGCAGACTGATTGGACAAAGAGCTGCCTTGTCAGACTCCCGAAGAAGGGCGACCGAAATCTGCAAGAACTTGCATGGAATCATGCTCCTGTCCCTGTCACCCCAAGCAAAATATTAAGCCGCACCATCGCGGATAGATTGAAGGATGCACTGGATTCAAAACCACGACCGGAACAGGCTGGCTGGATTCACGAAGTATACATCATGTGCGCATCAAATTGCAACGCTACACTACGCATCATCATAGAACGGAGCGTAGAATGACAGTCAACTCCCTACCTCAACTCAACTTTATCGATTTCGAAAAGGCATTCGACAGCGTCGACCGAGAAGTAGTTTGGCGACTGCTTCAACACTGTGCTTTTAGTGCCACAAACCCTCATCAACCGCATTCAACAGATATACGAAGACGCCACAGCCAAGTGATTCACAGTCGGAAGCTCAGTGACGCCTTTGAAGTGAAGACAGGAGTAAGACAAGGCTGCCGCCTACCATCACCCACCATCTTCCTGATTGTGGTCGACTCGACTGGATCATGCAACAAACTGTGAGGAGCGAGAAGATGGGCATACGCTGGCTGGACCGACGAAAAGACACAAGAAGATTTGGATTTCGCCGACAATGATGATTCATGTCTAATGTCTTTTCGCACAACCCCGAAGATCTACAGGCAAAAAGTGACAAGTTGACAGAAGAGGTGAGGTAGCGAAGACGTCACTTCAAGTGAACGTAGAGAAGACAGAGGTGATGAAGACACTCAACCAACACCATCAACGACAACAACAACAACAACAACAAGAAGCTCCAATCACCATGAATGGGAGAAAGCTGTAGGAAGTAGTCTCTTTCACCCGTCCAGGCAGCACTCTTTCAACTACAGGTGGCACAGATGAAGACATCAAAGCAGCCAGAATCGGAAAGGCAGCAGGACAGGCCTTCATTAACCTGAAAACAGTGTGGAAATCTTCTGCACTCCACTCAGCATGAAGCGTGAACAAGATCCGCATTCTCAACACTGATTCAGTCAAGTGAGTCAGTGCTTCTATGTGATGGTTGAGAGACTTGGCGAGTTACGAAAGGCGTTTCGAACAAACTGCAAATATTCATCAACAACTGTCTACGCTGGCTCGTTACTGAAACTCAGATGGCCAGAATGATAAGAATAAGTAACAAGAAACTCAATCTGACCTGGCAACGAACCAACCAAGAACGCGTCGCCCAGTAGATATACGGATTAAAGTGGAGATGGATTCGATTGGACATATACTGAGAAGACGGTTTAAGGGCACCACGCACCAGGTCAAGCCGTCGAGTGTAATCCAAAGGGGAAACGACGAGTTGGGCGTTCAAGCTGAGAGTGACGTGGATGAGATCGTGTGAGGAAGAAATGAAAGCTTGTGGGCAGTCGTGGCGCCAGGTTGAAAAGGATGCAGGTAACAGAGTGAAATTGAGACGTGCTACTGATGTCGTATGTTCCACTAGGAACCCGATGGACAAATAGTAATAATAATTCTAACACCATAAAGAAGGTATAAGAAGACTAACGGCACCGAAGGACCTTATTTTTGAAAGTTCCTGATTACAAGAGATTACAGGCACCTGGATAGCAGAGTTAAGTACAGTAATGTTGATAAATAATAACATAAGCAGGGAAACTACAGTACACAAAAATTTAAATACTTACTACGGAGTAGCTGGAAATGTTTTCAGTATTTATTTAAATCGTACACAGTTATGAGAAAGTTGTAGCTGGGATATGCAAAGGAAAACAACAGTACCATTAAAATTTCAGAAATTTGTTTCACGAGGCCAATACCACTTTGTTGAGGCCCTAACTAACTCCATTCTCTACAGTTCCCGAAATACTATAACTTTCTTAATTACAAGAACACTGCTGATCAATCTAAATCAGATACTTTGAGAAAGAGAGGGAAAACGAGAAGTGCAAACTGGAACGTTATACTGACAATAAACTGATAAATTTGAAACCAGGACGGGATAGATGGGATATTTTATGTCTGAACAGTTCAGCAAACGTAAGTTTACAAGGTGGCTTTCGAATATATCAACCAATACATTATGAAGTTCCTGCTACAAGCGTCTCACTTAATCTGGTTCATTACGTCAATCAAGATAAGTTTAGGCGACATACTTTAAAGCCGAGGTGCAATAATCAGCAAGATGAACTAGAAACATATTCATAATTGGGAGCACAAAAATGCTACAGTCATAAGACTAATAGTCTAGTACATGTAAAGGACAAAGAAGGAGATCAGTAATAAGCTGCAAGTTACAGACCAGTATTCCTTGATATCCCTTCCTAAATTGAGTATGAATTCACAAAATAATCTGAATGGACACAAATTCTAATTCATACATGACCAGAAGCGTATAATTTATTCACTGGGATTCATATCACTGATACTTACCTGGTCTTCAGACAATTCAGGTGAAAAGAATTGTAGGGATTAAGATTTTTGACAGTAATCATATATTAGAGTCAAAAACCGGTTTTTCAGCATTCGACAAAATTTCGACTGGAAGGCTATTGGATCAACATTTGTGATTAAGATCATAGTTTTTAGATGGAAACCCATGAAAAAACATAAAGGCGGGCCTAGAGAACAAACACGATTATTTATTACGTCACTGTCCATTAGGTGATTTCGAATCACATTACGATGGTCCAAATCTAAATCATATGGTAGACATTGTGACATGTCGTCTAAGATTACAGAAGGATTGTTTCTGTCTTTCAAAGGAACCGAGACAACTAGCTTGCCTTTTACGAATGAGTGGGGTCACTCAGGAATCATACTAGGAATAAGCTTCATGTTTACTAAGTTTTTTCACTACATTATTCTCAGTAATTTGCGTAGAAAGCTTTGAAACTAACACGAGGAACAATCTAACCGCTCTTATGCAGAATCAAAGTGTGTTGTTGTCGCCAATCTTTTCTATCTTTCTGGCCTGACTTTATTATTTTTCTCTATCTCCTGAAATCAACATTCTGTGCTGTTCCAAAGTTCGGTTGCCTAAAGGTTGAAACAGTTTTCACAGTTTATACTAGGGTAAATTAGTTAGCTTTTTATTTATGTATTTATGTAAGAAAGGCTCATTCGAATGAATGCCATGTATGCATGAGTATAACGAGTGAGTGTAATTAGAGATAGCGGCTGTACGACCGGTCAAACTACATTGCATCTGAGCAGGGATAATAAGGAATTATTATAGTTTAGTGGGTTGGAGCTTCCAGTGTCTAATCCAATCTATTTTGCTTGTGAGGCAGGTGATTTATTAGCCGAATGCAATATGCTTGGAGATAAAGTTAATGACAGGAAACAGGTATTATGCTTTATCACGCTTTTTGTACTGCATTTGAGACATAATGAGAGAAAACGCTTTAGTAAGATGAAAGAATTTATAGGCTACTGGGAATAATGATGAAGCACCAAAGATATCTTACTCTTTTTATTAGTTTATTTCTGCAATTTCGTGCAATTTCTCCTCTTAGTAAACAAACAGTGGTTTTGGGATATGCTACGATTTCTCACATACTTTTGTGTTTATTGTTTGGTAATTTCTAACGTTACATAAAGGTTTTGAAAGTTAGCTGAATTTACTGTGCAGTTTTGACTGATATTTGTTTGGAGTTCTGAGTGAAATAGCACTCTTTTGAGTTTGTCTTGCTTTTATTTTGTCAAAAATATTGATCACTTTTTCTAATAGGTGGATAACATCATAAACTTGCTTGGATTAAGAGAAGCTGTACATACTAGAACATCACAGCTATCTGGTGGCCAAAAGAAACGCTTAGCAATCGCTCAAGAGTTAGTAAACAACCCTCCAATAATGTTTTTTGATGAACCAACAAGGTGAGTTTGTTTAACCTATACGTACCTAATAGATAGATAGTAGTAAAATATTTTGGCACATTCAAATTACAAAATAATTGGCTGTTTTTGAAATTTAAAGATATTTGACAGGTCTTTAGCTTGTGGAAAATATATTTTGACTATTTCGGAGGTTCAGCTGTGTAGCATATGAAAAAATGGAGAACACCGGAAACTGAAAAGGCAGAGTGAATGATGAACTGGCCATCATGGACGATGATTGTACGGATTTTATAACCACATGAAGAAACGTGGTAAAAGTGATACCCCTTTTCCCCTGTCCCAGTTAATCAGCGTGTAAAATAAATAACTGGTTTATGATAATTTTAAATTATTCATGTGATTCCTTTACTACTGGGTGCCTCTACACACTCGTTGCCTTGAAGTGGTGTGGTTGAACGTCTGCAATTTATTACAAATAATGCGATTAAACGTTAGTTGTTGCAAAGAATTAGGCAAAAATAATTTGTATTTCACTTTTATTGATAGTTTGAACAGGAATAAGACCGTTTAGGAATTTAAAAGAATTCCCTATCGTTTGCCGTTAAAAAGTAATTCCGCTGGTAGATGAAAAATGATGTGACTGGGGCAGTTCATGTGAATTTAACCTTTTGTCGAGTAAATAAGGATCATGTATTCTGAGTAAATGTATGCAACTGTGTGAACAATGGTGTCTACAGTCGCAAACTTGCATACATGGAAATTATTGTTTTGATATGTTAGGTAAAATGGTTTGATCTGTATGTAAGTAAGTTTTCAGATTTCCCAGAGTGTTTGGAAGATCTAAACAAAATTTTTCCTCAGTAGAATGAACTATGACACAGCAAAACATCCAGGAAAGTCTTGTCTTGCCTTCGTGAAAACTCTAGGATTATATTGAGGCTTACTTATCCAGTCAAACTCGGCTTTAGAATTCTTCCTGGACATTCGTAGCAAATATAGACTGCGAGCTTACAAAATGGGCCGAGGTTCAAAAAGGATGATATAAGTATATCAACCTCTTTCTCAAAACTTTTCCATGATGCACACTGATTTGGTGAGTCAGTCGTAACGGTTCTTTGAAAGGAAGTGTTTGTTGATCATTACTAGTCGCATATATGTCATTTTGTATGGCTGTAACAACTTACTAGCGCTGTGGTGATTCGAGACAGAACTAACTTCTGTGAGACGTTAAACTCTATGAATTCTTACATCAAGAAACACATGTGGTAATTCACTGTTCCTGAAACTTCTATCTCCATCACTTGCTCATAAGTTTTTCCGATCAGAGAGTTAGAAAGGTTGTCATAAGTGGCTGTGCTGCAGATCGTAGGCAAAATAATACGATTTTATATGAGTATGTGCTTTTTGTACATCTTATGACCACTTATTTCTCAGTGACTATTGATATTTATTGTCATAGCAATCAGTCAGGTAACTGGTTTGAGTAATAATGATGCTAGTATGCAGATGATATCCGTTTAATTTGGTGTGGTTAGTGGTCCCTGGATGAGCTTGAAGTACACTTTGAAGGGCCGATTTACCATGGTTATCGGACCTAGATCTACGAAGAGCGATTGCCTGAAATAGAAAAAATCTTGGGTACTAACAAGGACCAGCCAATATTGGTTATTATGTGATAAAATCACTGGGGTCACTAAGTCACCTGTGAAAACCTATTTCAGAAACTCCCACTACTTATTTTTCAATAAGTCCATTAATTTCAGGCTTTCTGTATTTTATGTTTACTGGTTTACGAAACCTTACAAAGGACTGAAATGAGCTTAAGTGAATGAACATATTTGGCAGGTCTTTGCTACCAACCTTTTTTGGCGGAAATTCTTGGCTTCTTGTCGCTAATTTTACTGTAAGTTAGGTGTAAATTCGTATAAACACCTATGAACTGTTATTGTGTTTCCCCCAGTCATCACTAAATTTTATTTTTCGACTTAACCTAAAGCCAAAGGGTACATATTCATCAGCTGATAAAAAAACCAGGCCAAAACGAAATGAGTTTTTGCAGTTGTGTAAACGTAAGCTGATTTTGTTGAATGAACATTAAGTTTTTCGTTAGAAGCGGGACGATCGTTAGGTAGCTTCAGTCACGGGTTGATACAGAGTATTGGGTGGTTTGAAGTCTAAGACCGCTGTTTTGTCTTCATTTGTGATTTAATAGAAGCAGGTTTGGCCTTTATCTTCTTCTGGCTATTCAAACAAATTATGGAAATTAAGAAATAATATTGCGGTGTCTAGTAGTTTAGTCAAGTGTTACTTCCATCGGCTGCATAAAATATTGAATATGATATAATAACCTGACAAACCGATTTAGTCACAAATAAAAGAATTTGATATTAGCACTTCATACGCTTCACTGCTCTCACAAATTCTAATGAAGGAAGTATAGTTGTTGTAGCAGAACAATATGAACTTTTTTATTCCAGTAATTAGCGTCACATACAAAATAATTTTATTCATAGGAATATTTGTATAGGTTTATTAATTCGACTGAAAGTTGTTGACATGCAGAGGATAAACGTTAATGAAGCGTAGTCAAACTCAGAACAGTTTATTAAAATACAATAGAAGAAGCAATACAATGATTTCTGTGGGCTATTATTGCTATTATTACTGGTATTTTTAAGGTGGTATTCATTGTGGACTGACATCAGTTGGGGAACCACTGAAAATTTGGGAGCATTGGACAGCCGTGATGTTTCCCTTTTTTTGCTGTGAGCCATATATGAAAGTGTTATCAATAAAAGCAGATATAGTAAGAGAAAGCACTTCTAATGGTAAATACAACTACATTTGGTGGTTGTTACCAGTTAATCAGAATAATTAAACTTGGGGCTTTTATCTCCTGATTTTCACCAGTAGCTTACTCATTCTGATAGTAGCTGTTTTATAAAGACCTAGAGTCTCTATATTTGCTTTTATCTGCCGCACTAGGTGTCATCACGATGCATATTGTTAGTCAGTTGAACTAGAAGATTACGCCAGTTACCAGTGTGCAGGTAAATTTCTACATCGAAAAGTTCACATCCTCTTCAATACTAGTTTTTAATTCCTGTTTTTGTTTTTTCTTGAAATTTTCCCTAAAATATTGACTTATCAAAAACGCAATAAAACGACATTCAAAAATGGACGCTAAATTATTCACACTTATCTAAATGGAAAATTCTCTCCTAGTGGATTAGATAGTGCTTCATGCTACCATTGTATTTCTTTGTTACGTCGACTGGCACGCGGTGGTCGAACAATAATTTGTACAATACATCAACCAAGTGCAAAAATTTTCGAATTATTTGACCATGTAAGTACAAAATTTTTATAATTAGTTTACCTGTATAGATCAGTAATATGCTGTAGTTATCACCATTGAACAGTAACAAGTGATGGCGTATATAATTACTGAGATTCATGCATATCTATCTGCGAAATATGAGGAAAGCTTCAATTTAAAAAACTGACGTCTAATACAGCAGTAATTTAGTTATCTGTAACGTTGAGTCTCAAAAAGAAAGTAACTATCTGTTGAATGTTTGGAGGTCCTTAGGATTTCATAAATCAGTGATTTCAGACAGTGAAGAGTATGGTTAGGAACCAATGATTATGGTATTATTATCATTCGTCCCTTGGCTTCCTAGTGGAATATACGACATCAGTAGCACATCTCAATTTCACTCTGTTACCTGCATCCTTTTCAACCTGGCGCCACGACTGCCCACAAGCTTTCATTTCTTCCTCACACGATCTCATCCACGTCACTCTCAGCTTGAACGCCCAACTCGTCGTTTCCCCTTTGGATTACACTCGACGGCTTGACCTGGTGCGTGGTGCCCTTAAACCGTCTTCTCAGTATATGTCCAATCGAATCCATCTCCACTTTAATCCGTATATCTACTGGGCGACGCGTTCTTGGTTGGTTCGTTGCCAGGTCAGATTGAGTTTCTTGTTACTTATTCTTATCATTCTGGCCATCTGAGTTTCAGTAACGAGCCAGCGTAGACAGTTGTTGATGAATATTTGCAGTTTGTTCGAAACGCCTTTCGTAACTCGCCAAGTCTCTCAACCATCACATAGAAGCACTGACTCACTTGACTGAATCAGTGTTGAGAATGCGGGCTTGTTCACGCTTCATGCTGAGTGGAGTGCAGAAGATTTCCACACTGTTTTCAGGTTAATGAAGGCCTGTCCTGCTGCCTTTCCGATTCTGGCTGCTTTGATGTCTTCATCTGTGCCACCTGTAGTTGAAAGAGTGCTGCCTGGACGGGTGAAAGAGACTACTTCCTACAGCTTTCTCCCATTCATGGTGATTGGAGCTTCTTGTTGTTGTTGTTGTTGTTGTTGTCGTTGATGGTGTTGGTTGAGTGTCTTCATCACCTCTGTCTTCTCTACGTTCACTTGAAGTGACGTCTTCGCTACCTCACCTCTTCTGTCAACTTGTCACTTTTTGCCTGTAGATCTTCGGGGTTGTGCGAAAAGACATTAGACATGAATCATCATTGTCGGCGAAATCCAAATCTTCTTGTGTCTTTTCGTCGGTCCAGCCAGCGTATGCCCATCTTCTCGCTCCTCACAGTTTGTTGCATGATCCAGTCGAGTCGACCACAATCAGGAAGATGGTGGGTGATGGTAGGCGGCAGCCTTGTCTTACTCCTGTCTTCACTTCAAAGGCGTCACTGAGCTTCCGACTGTGAATCACTTGGCTGTGGCGTCTTCGTATATCTGTTGAATGCGGTTGATGAGGGTTTGTGGCACTAAAAGCACAGTGTTGAAGCAGTCGCCAAACTACTTCTCGGTCGACGCTGTCGAATGCCTTTTCGAAATCGATAAAGTTGAGTTGAGGTAGGGAGTTGACTGTCATTCTACGCTCCGTTCTATGATGATGCGTAGTGTAGCGTTGCAATTTGATGCGCACATGATGTATACTTCGTGAATCCAGCCAGCCTGTTCCGGTCGTGGTTTTGAATCCAGTGCATCCTTCAATCTATCCGCGATGGTGCGGCTTAATATTTTGCTTGGGGTGACAGGGACAGGAGCATGATTCCATGCAAGTTCTTGCAGATTTCGGTCGCCCTTCTTCGGGAGTCTGACAAGGCAGCTCTTTGTCCAATCAGTCTGCAGCTACCTATCCTTCCTGCCAGACCTCTTGCAGTAGTGGTGTGAGCATGTCCGCCGTTGTCTCTGCGTCTGTTTTGGGTTCGTTCTGGTGGAATTCCATCTGGTCCTGCTGCTTTCCCTCATTTCAGTAGCTTTATGGCACTCAGGACTTCGAGTTTTGTCGGAGAGCTCGTGTTGACTGGTAGTTCTGTGGCTGGGCTGCTGATGGTATTTCTGGACGAAGTGTAGGTGGTGGTCGATTCAAGAGCTTTTTGAAGTGGTTAGAATATCGGTTCATGATTCATGTTTTTTGCCAGCTAGATTTCATTCACTACACATATATATATATATATATATATATATATATATATGTCGAATCATCAGTGAGTGCATTAACGACTGGTAATTGGGATTTGTGATAATCTTGTACAGGTTATAATATTCATGGTGATATACCTGTCTATACTTGAGCTTCCTTGTCCATTAGACGAAGTCTGTCACAGTGATTACAACATAGTGCTTCGTTGAACTTTATAGTTAAAACCCATGGGAGTTCAAATTGACTAACTGTTTACCTATAAGTTTTTTTATATGAGAATTGCCATATGGTTTCGACCATACTATCAGAGAAAGTGAAACTCAACGTTTAAATCTGATTGGTAATTTGGTGTTCATTTCAAAGCTGAGATATCCTTCACACTGCTAAGTCACTGATTAATTTCAGTTTAGGTAGATGAACTAAAGTTGAGGATGGTGATATTATGTCTTACTTCTTAATTTGGTAAGAAACTGAGTTGCATTTTCTTGGTAATTGTAGACAGAAAACCTGAAGTGAATTTTTTCCTACATTCCCAGTCTTTGAGTTGATTTTGAACTTTTTTCTGGTCACCACGAAACTTCTCATGGCCTGACGTGGCAATTCACATCGCAAACCGGAGTAAATAATTATTTTGTATGGTACATATGAATGTAAACCCACTTTCATTGAATTAAGTCATCCCTACTTCGATGCCAGCTTTCAAAAATGTCTTCGTCAAGCGGTTTACAAAACGTGCCCGTTATCTGTCATTTATCTAAGGAATGAAGTGCTCGTAAAAGGATGATATAATTGATTAACTTGTAAATATTTCCCAAAGCCTAAATAACTTACAATGTTACATTGCTTGCTCACCGGAGAGTAACCAGTTTCATGTTGTCTACTCCTGATTGCTGACCGGCTTTTATCGATCATCTTGCAATATGGCCAGCATGCTAGGTGACTAACCATCACGGTGCACTTTCATGGATGTTAGTCGGTTAGAGGCAATCAGCAGGAAGTGGCTTTTAATTACCACGCAAGATTTCATTCAGTCACATTCAGTTTAACAATATATTCCAACACACAAAGAACTTATTTTCACATAAGAAAAGTAAACAATCGTTTCCGCATAATGTAGTTTTTTTTTATCTGTGTCCACCATTTGTATTTTCTAGTGCACTTATATCTCGTATCATACATTTTGATAACTGCACTAATGACATTTCAATTAGTTGGTAATTTAGCTTGAGCGAAAAAAGATGAAAAATATTCGAACGAGTAAAACATAAGCTTTTCAAACAATGATTTTCGAAAGTGTATACTTGTGAAATGAACTTAGATACTAATCGGTGTAACGTTTTGATCTGTAGAAAGCAGTTAAGGCATATACATCAATAAATGTGGTGATATCTTGCTTGAGAACATGGAAAACGAAAATTAGTACGGGGACCTGCATATTTTCTTGCACGTGAATCAAGTTATTATCACTACATTTTGGCTTAAGGTGAAAGCATTTCTCCTACATGTTCCAAAACTCTTTCTCAGTGAAAATACTGATAATTATATATATATATATATAAACAAGAACCAAGAATGACACATTAAAACACGCCGGTCAATAAGAAGTAGCCATCACTTGAAAAGGGCTAAAGCTAAAAATCATGAGAGATCGCAGTAGTATATTTTCAGCCCAAAATCCGGTACCCTGTATTTGATATAAAAATCGGACAATATAAATAATTTATCAAAAATATATACCTGTTTTGATGGTTTTGCGTTCTCTGAAGTGGACTGTTTAATCTTAGAGCTCTCATTGTCATTGTATACATAGTACTGCTACTTCTCTGAATGATTTGTCATTTCAATTAACTGGATATAAAAGAGAAAGAATTATTATTGAAAAACAAAATCTTTTTGTATTAGAATAATCGATGCAAGAACAGGTTTATCGTTATTTGGGTCAATTTTTAACCATCCAAAAATCAATCGTGAAGTATGTTATCCCTATTTGAGACAACTCAGTGATTCGTTTACAGTGTATGTGTGTGTAGGTTTCTGTTACTCTGTGAATCAAGCGAAATGTTTTGATGACAATAATAATATCAGCGATGATTTGTTGAATGTTTGCAGGTGAAGAGATTAAATCTAAAAAGGATTGAGAAGGGAAACTGTGAAGTTGGATAATATCTTCATCTTACTAACAGCAAACAAGTTTTTTCTAATTTATTGTATTCTATATATCACTCATTCATGTATTTCTTTCTTAATATTTTCCCTTCTGATTTACTTTTCGAATCGAAAAACAATGTTTAATATCCACCCTGCTTGTTCTCTTTTCCGGAGAAGACGTTTCTTTTTTTCTGTTTTATTCTCTAGTTTAATATGTAGAAGAAATTATTAATTTGCGGCTTTGTTTAAGCTCTCCTATTGTCCAAGGTCAAAGCCTTCAAACGCTTTACTCATCTAGTAGTATAATGATACCGAATATTTTGTATCTTTTTATGTCAAATTTAGCAACTCTTTGACTTCCCAATGAGCGCATTATGTAAACTCCTTCTTAGGTTTTCCCCCCATGAGTTTGTTTGTGACTGTGGGTGAAATTTCACAGAGCAGTTAATATCACTAGTTAAAATCCAAGTGCTGTTGGTTGACAATTTCAAATAAATTGAATTCAATTCCTTGGTTTCCACTATTATTCAACATTTAATGTCAGTTGATATCCAGCATTTCAACGTTATATAGCAGACAACTGATAGCTACATTGCTACTGTGTTAACATGTTTCCGTAATACAACTTTAAGGTGTACCACGAAAAACTAATAAATAAGTGGAACAAAATATTGCACATAAATAAATTTAGAAACTTATAAAATATTGCTTCGGCTAAAGTTGGTGCAATGACGCACAAAGAGAAAGTGAAAAGAAAAAGAATGACGGGTAAACTAAAGGAATGGTTGTTGCAAAACAAAACAAAGATGTAGAGGTCACTGAAACTTTCAGAATTTAATCGATAAATTGCCACTATATCTGTATAGCTGAGGAAAACTTTTCCAGTCACTTCCCTGACGTTCTGTATTTATTGATTTTTAATTATTCACTGGTTTTACGTGGCTACCCATGTGAATGACATGACTCATACAAGCTATTAATAACTATATGGATTTCTGTTACAGTTATTTTTACACTGTAAGTCAGATTCTTTGCACATTTCTCATCAAAAAAGGCTGCACAATATGCATAGTGCTTGTTCCAACTACTCCAGTAGATGCAGATTCATAATACCATACTTCTTAACTAGACCTTGATCCTTATATTCAGTATTACATACTTCACCAGTAGTTTTGAAAAAACAAGTCTTTGAGGAAGCTTGCAGCCTTCTCATATTTTCCTTGCCCAGTTACAGTGTCTCATGTGATGGAAGACGTGGAAGGTACCTTTAATTGGTTAAGCTCTAACAAAACACGAAGGACGATTGCAGCGACTAAATAATTCTCTTAGCCATACATTTATGATAATATGGTAGGAGGGATAGAACATTCCGATGTCATTTACAGTCAAACGTTAGCATAAAATGCATGGCGAAGGAAAGTTAATTATTATCCATAGGTTTCTAAGATGGGAAAATAAACGAAATGACTACAAAACAAAAATAGTTACTTCATGTGGGAGTTCTCGAAAGTGACTGATACTCTACGATGACCATGGCAAAAAGGAGGTTGTACACGCTTCCTTGAATACACAATGGTGGTTTAAACTTTTGAATCGTTAATGTTTCGGCAATGCCCAGATGTTTTAACCTCACTGCTCCCGGGTGGCTTGGTCGCACTGTGTATAGCATTTTGAAGGGCATATCAAGAGGAGCCAAATATCTTGAGTGTACTAAATGTCATGTATTAGAGTTGAGGATGAACTTCCTTTCTCCCCTTGTCAGCCTAGTTGGTGCATGCTAAGGTCGATGTACTCGGTTCCACAAGAGCAAATCAACTAATATTCATACACTAATGTAGCCCACTGTTTCAGCTTGTCTTTTGTGTACTGATGAATGAAGTGAAAAAAGAATAGGATTTTAAAACTGACAGCAAAGAATGTTCTGTTTATGGACCTTTGACGAGAAATTACTATGGCATGTTCTATCCTCTTTCATATGTATTATTGAATGTACAGCTTACAGCTTTTGAGGAAAAGAAAAACTTTTCCTTCTCTTCCTGAAAGTTCGAAGATGTAAACTGTATAAGTTGTTTTAACAGCTATTCAACGTTCAAGATGCAAAAGGCCTAATAGGTCTACCAGTATTTTTGTTTAAAAGGTTTATATTCACAGTGAATTAGCTGATTTTAAAACTGGTTGATAATAATGTTTTTTTGCAGTAGGGAAAACACCTAAGGGTATTTTTGAGTTGAATAACCATTTGGTATTCTCCAAGATTTGAAGTTTATGGCTGAGCATTTCAAGACGAAATATAAGTCATATATGGACAAATTTTCAGCGTTTTAAAAACATGAAAATTCGACGTTTTCCACGGCAGTCTGGTCCCAGCTTCCTCAGGGAAATGACTGAAGTCTACAATATCATATATATATATATATATATATATATATATATATATATACGGTAGGTCCAAATTCCTATAATAATAGTAACAGGATTGAGAAAGAATTCAAACCTTCTGCTGTATTACCATACAACGAAGGCACCTCAGAAGCATTACGAAGAATTCTCAATAAAGCTGGGATTAAAGTGGCATCTAAACCAGAAAAGTTTCTGAGAAGCAAGCTTTGTAGGTAAAAAGATCCTATTGATATAATTAAGTAAAATAATCTGGTTTACCAAATCCCTTGCAATGATTGCGAGGTCAAATATATAGGTCAAAGAAGTCAACCAGGGTCGATTAGAATAACAGAAGACAGGAACTTAGCTCAATCAAGATTAGTAGATCCTGATAAGATAAGAAATTTTGCAGAAAGCTCGGCAATAGCTCCACATGCAATTACATTCAATAACATAATAGGGCAGGATAAAGCAACAGTGTTACAAACAAACTTAGTTGGATGGAGGTAGAGATTGATAGGTGAATCTTTGTTTATCGCATCAACACCAAATACACGCAACAGAAATGATTCTGCACCTGTCCCAGACACATATAAAGTTCTACTAACCTTGTCATGATTAAGGAAAGAAAACTAGGAAGATATAAACTCCGCCTGAAAGTTGTGGAGTTGCCTGCTATGAATATGGATGACAGTATTTGTCTGAAACGGTGTCCAGTAAACAACACTGCTTCACTATATGACATTTCTAATAAACAGACTAAAATGGAATTAGAATCTACCACAATGCATAAGTTCTATACTCGTATAAACAAAATTCATACAGTTCATCTCATTGTCCAGTCATGAATGGATTATGATTGTTTTTCAATGATCCTGATGAAGATTTATACCTAATGTCGACGTTACTCTCGGTGTCCAATATTTAAGAATATATCCAGTTATATTTGGAAAAGGATTCACATAAATTTCATTACCACGTAAGGAAAGTTTATCAGCATTCAATTCATAAAGAAGAATGATGACTCAGTCATTTTGCGATACCGGCTGTTTACGTTTTTGTTTCCAGGGGGTCAGAAAATGAACTGACCAGCTTATACAATTTCGATTACTTTATTTGAATACAAAAGCCACACTACCCTGTTTACACTACAGTTGAGTAGCTGGAAATCTATTCAGATGTGACAAACACCAACATGGAGCTTGCAATCCCTAAATAATTTGCATGAGGGATCATCCTACTCATCCTACTATTGTCTGTTGCAGTCATAAATTACCTCTGAGCTTTGCGAAGGCAAAATCTATTATGTTCAATAAATTATACCCGAAAAGATACATACTATGTGGTTCAAACTGTTTCATGTTTATAGGAAATGTAGTTCAGTAAGCCATTTCCCTTCAAAATAGTTATCTGTGAAAATATCATTAAACACTGTTGATACCTGGAGAAATAACAGAACTCGAAAAAGAGAATTCATTTAATCTCATCAGTTTGTAGACTGTGCAAGTCGGATAAACCATCCGCGTTGGTACTTGATGTTGGTTAATTTACCTACTGAGAATCAAGTGATACCCCTTGTGATATCATGTCTCACACCAAATTCTTTGAAACAAGAAAATAGAACACATTTTTAAAATCATATTCATAGCATCAGCCAATTGTCAAAGAATCATCAGGTGATTAATATAGGGGCTAGAAACCAGATCCTAGGAAATCACTTGGTGAGGCTGAGAGCCTTGCTTGACTATGCTGGTTGAAGAGTGTGTTCTGCATTCTAGACGACTTCCCAATCTATCGAACTACTTGACTGAATTTGAGTTTAGTTGGAAGAAGATAAACATTAGCTAGAAAGAGAAATTAAACCCATGCAATAAGCTACAGACTGATGGTCTTCATTGTGCTGGAAAATGTAAGCTCCTAGGCTAGGGAATACGCGATAACTGAAACTGATGATTGGGGACCTGAACCAGTATCGTTCTCGGTAGTGTAGGTGCATTTTTTGTTTTCATCTTGACCTTTTTATTTTATCTCCTGATTTACTTTCACCCATATCATTTTGTCCTACGAATTCTCATGATTTTATTGTATCATTTCGATATGATGATATGAAGTGTAGCAACTTGAACGGTTATGAAATATTATCGATTTCTACGTTAATGTTGACCGACCTACTAAATTTCATTTAGAACTTCGCGTCATTCACTCCTGCATGAACTACTGGATATTTGCACTTCTTATCTACCTATATTAGTTTGAAACCTGGAGTGCTAAAAGCTAATTGATTACATGTAATACTTTGCAGTTTGCATGTAGCTATGACCTACGTTCTTCTTTGTTAATTGTTTCTTGTTTTTGACTAATTGTATTCGTTATTAGTTTAGTGGGTGTTTTTATCCTTAGTACAGTATAGTGCTTAAACGTATGAATGAAGTTTACCTAAAGATAACGAGTAAATGTCTGTAGTATTCTCTAATTCCTCTTTTAAGCACTATCCATCATCACCAGAGCAAAATTTCTCACGAAATAATTTATGGAAAAAGAAATGTACGGTCATAAGATTCTATGCCCCTTTTTAAAGAAAACAACAACTGTATTTCTTACACTTTCTTTGTATATTTTATTTGCAGCTATATTTCCTAACTGATGGACATTGTATCTATAGAGGGCCAGTTTCATGTTTAGTTCCTTATCTGGCTACACAAGATTTGATCTGTCCATCTTACCATAATCCTGCTGACTACTGTAAGTTCCCTTTTAGCATTCTGGTTATGATTAGTATTTCATAATTTAACTGCTAACTTTCATATGTAGCAGTGGTTCAATTAGCTCTGACAATAAATTATTCGACTACGCATTTACTACTTCGTTATAATGTTAGTAGTAAACTTTGTGATGTAGGGAGGGTTGTTGACAGTTAGGTTGTCGTAACGACTCCATTCAGTTTCAACTGGGGACAAAACGCACTAAACTGTTGAGATTAACAAGATAAAACGTGATCTAACATTGTTTATTAGCAAATTTGTGAACAAATCTAATGTGAATGAACTGCTTCACAGGCATAAAAGGCTAGAGAAATTGTAGCATAAGAGAAAATTATATACTGAACAATCTTTGTAAATTTTAAACTGTGTATAACCCTCATGAAAACGGGAACACAAAGAGCCTGTCAAAACTGGTTGACTTGTTGATTTCGTATTGCGAAATGAGTGTGATGCCTGTTAAAGTGATCTCGGTGACTAGCAGAGGATTCCAGGACGCACGTTTCATCCTATTTGGCACTCTTCGGATGGACGGGCCTGCACCCTAGTGAGTAATGTTTTCCCCACTGGGGCTCAAACCCAGTACCAATCTCTTCAAGAGTCAGAGAGTTATCCGCTAAGCCAGTGGGGCATGATGGCTACCGCTTGTGCAATGCGTATGAGTTGCATTCACCTAGAAACCAATCTGCCAAAAAGGTGGAGTGATTAGGTCCTGTATAGGAACGGAAAACAAATGTGATATCTTGTTTCGAAAAATTGATTCATACAGAGACATCTTTTTCAAATTTTACAACATCTTTCATAAGTTTACATTGATGCACTATGTTTGTATCACCAAGTGTAGGTAAAAATATAGCTGTAATAGACTAAAGAGATGCATAAAACCAATTGATAAAGCTTCTGTTTCCTCATTGCAAGCATGTAGCCCGTAGTAGGTTGTCTGGACAAGATTTTGGTTATTGTCGAGATTATCTGCTGTACAGTCATTCAAGCCCTTTATATATATATATATATATATATATATATATCTTGTAACTAAGCGACACGGCAACTGATTTTTGAATAAGTTTAAAGGCCACCTACTCAACTGATGTAACGACCAGTCACGTTCCTCTACTCTATGAAAACTTGTCCATCCAGATAAAATTCAGCACTCTGATTGGTCATTTTGTTAGTTGTTACAGTGGCCTTTAAACTTGTCCTGATTTTCTTCCCCATAATTTGGTCTTCCCGCTCTAAACTACATCCCCTAACTACTAGGCCGAGGAAAACATCTGCTATTAAGAACCTAATGCGGTGAAATACTGTAGCTTAAATGAAAAGACGGTGTATTGTCAAGTTTATGTTAAGAATTTGTGTCGAATTTTTAATGTATGAAACCTTGTGGTCAACACTTCCAACTGTGGCATATTTTGGAGATGGGAGAGTATGCTTAAGGGTGATGTCGATCTCAGGTCATTGGCAGTTAATTCTTACGTTCAGTTTTCGCCATAAAACTGGACGTGAATCATGATAAATTCAATTTTTGAACCTACCAATGACAAACATAAACGTTTTAAAATTTGTGTGTAAGAAAATTCTAGATTTATAACTTTCGAATCAACTGCCGTATTTTGATGGTGACTCTGACGTTGTAATCACCAGTTTGAATGTACGAAACTGCCCTTTTTACGAGGTTTAAGTAGTAACATAAAATATCATTAGTTCTCATACGATAGTTATCGCTCAGAGTTCAGTACAAGGGTGTATATATGGTTGATGGTTTTGATCTTTTGTTCTGAATAACCGATAGTATGAATGCATTTCAAAACTTAATATCACTGGCCTGTTTTAAAAATATCATGACAGATTAGTGAGAACTTAGGTCTTGTCTTTTTTGAACCAGTTTTCATCTTGTCTAGTACTTCAAGTTAAGTAAGGGAGCTGCTGCATGTGAAAAAAATCCAACGGAACGATGCGTTACATTGCGAAAAATATTCATCTTTCCGTGTTGATGGTACTCCTGTAAGTGACTGATGTCATGAGGAGAAGATATAAAAACTAGAATTATCATGTTTCTGTAATTACACTATAATTTTCATACCAATGTTTAGAAAGAAGACTGGTAGAACCAAACAGTAGTGGTTCTGCGTTATAGCATTTCGTGACCCAAGTGAGCAACATGGATTTTTGATCATTACTACTGATATAAATGGAATAATTTGGTATTGTCGACTCATTTTGTTTACTTATTTATTGACAGTCATGGAAGTCGCTTGTGGAGAGCACGGTGATCATAACATGCGATTAGCTATGGCTGCACGTCGTGGAGCACTTGATGAAACTATAACTTATCTGAAAGAGAATAAAGCATTTTTGAACACAGCACACGATGATCAAACTGACTGTCCTATAGATAACGTTCAGTTAATTGTTGCATCGTCTACTCTTTCTTCTTCTTCATCTTCTTCGTCTTCTACTACATTTCATTCACCTATTAAAAAGATTAACAACAATTTTAGGAAGAATTCTAAACAGCATGGAAAGAATGTGAGTCATCTGTTAAATTTATTTGATTATATCTGTTTTCGAAGACTGAATTGTTTTAACTAGGCTGCTGTATAACAGCTGTGTATGATGTTATTACAATTAAGTACTGACCACAAACTGGTTTTGTTAATTTCTTCGTGTAAAACATGCATATTCACAAGAACATCTCCTAATATCTATCATAGTTTGTGTTATTAGCAATCAGGCTGTCTTTCATCTGAACTTGATGACAATTAATAACTTAGAATGCATGCACTTTTTAGTACTTGAAGCAATTGAAGTAAAACAAAGCCAAGAAAAGATGTGTTCAGAACAAAAAATGTAGTTCACATGACAAACTTGAATAATCCAAGAACAAAGAAATTTGCAGAATAAAATGAGCTCACTTTGTTTCATGGCTTTTTATCAGCTCCAAACAGCCTGAAATTGAAAAAAAGTATTGGTAATAGTGGGATGACATACTTTAAACGCCCACAAACAAATAGAGATTTTAAATCCAGGATTAACAATAAGTCAGTAAGTCAAGGAAACAGGATTAATAGTTACAATTCCTAGTCAAAATCAATGGTAAGTTGTGTTTTATGAGACAGGAAATCCTGAAGCTGTGGAGTGAAGGTACAACAAATTAAATTGAAAGAAGGGATTGTTTAGGAGCTAATGGATTAAGTAATTACATGAAAGTCTGGAAACTCTTTAATTGATTAACAGTAGGTAAATTACTGATAAAGAACTGTAATAAACATGGTGTTCTTTGTCTGTTGATTATCCTGAAGGATTGAAAAACATCTATTTAACGTCCTGTTTCCATCAGATGTCTGGCAATTGTGCTCTTGTTTTATTCTGCAAATGTTTTTGTTCTTGCAATGTTCAAACACAGTGTCATTAACAGTTATTCCAATCATACAGATGGAAAATAAAGCATAACAGGAAAATTAGATCGCTTTTAAGTTATTATAGGGCGAAGGAAGAGTAGGTGTTTGAAAAAAAGGTTTCCGTGTACATAAACCTGATATCGTGATTTTCATGGTAGCTGCTTCAGTTTTATGAGGGAAATTGGTAGTCTCTTTAGGATTTAAGAGACAACTGTAAGAGGCCTTTTATTGTCCACTGCATGTCTGGCCATTATCAGAAACACAGGTATTGAACCATCAATGATTTCCACTTCTCCTTTTCCCAGATATACTGAAAGATATTCTAGTGTATCAGAAGTGGCTAGCTCTATTAGAGCATTTTAACTGATTAAAAACTCTCTTTTTGCTGCTTGGGAGTAGAGTGATTCTATTTCTAAAGCAAAGTTTTAAGATAGCTTCTTAGCCTTCACCGTAAACGAGTTACCACAGCTTCAAAAGTGAATTCTAATAAATTAAACACAAAGAGGGGAAATCTGTTTGTTACTTTCAAACTTATGCTTAAATGTGGTAATCTTATAGGTATCTTTAATTTCTGTAACAATTCTTCTATCCCTGAGGGTATTGCATTGAATCAATGCATCACTTATTTATCGGTAGAATAAGTTCACATTCTTAGTAATCAATTGAAGCTTACTACACCTCAGTTTGGTCAGTGAAACATTTATGGTCAGTAATCCAAGAAGGAGATCCATTACAGCTTCATCCACTTACTTATTCGATTCCCTAATGAATACAATCTAGAAGTTTATGGTGTATTTGACTTTAAGATACTTCAGCCATTCAGTGATGCAATTGAAGAGAGTAATGTAAAAAGGTGAAACACAGTTGTCGTTGGATGTATACCTTTTGGATTCAAACGTTCTACTGTTGAAAACAGTCAAACATAAAGATACTTGGTGCAATAATAGAGAACAAGACGGTACTTAATGTCTATATAATTGAATTGTTCATGATATTTTAATTGAGTGTTTTGTTATTCCTACAACAAATTAATCTTGGTTTCTCATCTATCTAGTTATCTATTCACTTGCTGATTGCCTCAAATTTCGTTTCAGATCACTCTCAAGTATCTAATTACGTAACGCGGGTCCCAACACTTAATAATAGTCTCTGGGTAATTTAGGTGTTTTCTATAATGGGTGAGAATTTCATGTTCGAAAGCTTAACCCGATGAGAACATAACGAAATTACATATCCCATCAAATTATCCATCTTCTCAATATTCCGTTCTGCTCACTAACCTATTTTAAGGCTTGATGATATTGAAGAAAATTTTTTGAGTAGATTGTGATGCATCTTCATTAACTGAGTGTAACAATCCTGTAATTGATAACACTAGTGCTAAACTTGGTGACCTGGTAGCATAAGCTTCGTTGAGGACCTGAGGAACCAAGAACGATACTTTTGAATGTTTAGCAACTCATTCATAATGTGTTATTGAGATCTAAGTCATGCTTCAGTTTAATTTCAGTGAGACATGATACTTTTATAGTTAAATGAAATAAATGGTGCGTAAGTAATACATATATATATATATATATATATATATATATTCTTTTAAGTACTTTTTTGTTTTGCGATTCTATTCTGTACTTGATTAATTACTCTTATCTTTAAAACGGAAGCAGGATACATCACAAATGGAAATGTCTGTTTTTCTACCTCATACCAATGGGCCTGTACTTACTGTAAATCAATCAATTGTCAGTTCCGATTGTATAAAAGTAAGTTTGACTGGAAAGATGTAGCTTTGGTAAGCCTGTATTTCATTTGAATTTTCTTCTCTTGATTCTGAACACTTCTCAGCGTATTTAGGCAACGCTATTACTCAGTTAATTATAAGTGCCATAAATTCATTGCGTACTGATTAAGCCATGTGAGGACAGTGCACACTTTATGATGTAATCTGAAACAACAGCATTTCTATGCCTCCATTCGATAAAATACTGAACAGTAAATCATTACCTCTTATTGGCTCTCGGTTCACTTATAGATTTCTTCGAGTACATTTTCTGTTTTCCGAGATTTGTTTCCTATTTCCTTACTATTATAAAATGTGACAAATAGAACTGCAATCTCTACGTTTTTGCTCGTTACAAGTTGGGATTCCAGAAGACTAGATAACAATTGCGCACTGTAGTTAACCTATCAATTTCATGAAATAATTGCAAGTTATTTTTGTGAAATCTTTCATTTTAGTTAAGTATACTTACTTCAAGATAGAGCTCTATTCTATAAATATTCATTTAGCTTCACTAATCATTCGGTAATCATAGGATACTACATGAAAAACGTTGTAGCGTGCAAACGGAATAATATTTCTCGTACATAATGTAAATTGGAAGCTTCTAGTAGCTTCCCATTTGTCAAACTATGATACTTTAGTTTTATGAATAAAAGAACTTGGGCATTGGGGCAGAATGTAATCCTATCTTAGAGGGTCTACCTAATATATATCACACAGTAGAAGAGTATTACATACTGGATAACATTTCTGGACACATTTTATTGTGCACAGTCGTATCAAGCTCTTCTTGAGATGTATAACATATTGACCAAGGTGGAATTAGCTTTAGTTTTGCCGATTGATTTTGTAGTAGTATTACACTATCATTGCCCAGATTTGAAACCTGGCTTTTCCTATTATTCAATGAAACTGTAATAAATACTGCGTACAGGTTTACTAAAAAGCTTTATTTTGTTAGTATGAAATGTTTCGTGAACGGCTGTTACAAAAACTGGATGGCAGTTGTCATAGGACCACTGAGGATTAGTTGGAATGGTTTACTACCTTCTTTATAACATATTACATACCTTTTTATTTTAACGAAACGGATTTTTAGTGCCTGTTTTCTGAAGAAAGATTGAAATCAGCATCGACAGTAAAAAAAAATACTGCAAGCAGCAAACATCAACTGAAACGGAACTAAGGGAGGGAGATAAAATTATCCTTTTATTCAAATGTTCACTAAACTCCTGTTTGAACCTTTTAATGTCAATTATCCTTAAAATGTTGAAGTTTTTTCATTTTTATTTATTATTCAATCTATCCTACTATCTATGCATTGTTACAGTCACCCATCTGTCTAATCGTCTGTTCTAGTTACATATTACTGAATTTTCAAAATTGGGTTTTTTCGACAAAAATGAAAAGAATATACGTGTGCGGAAGTATATTTGTCTGGTTGATTTTTTCACCAGTAGGAACTGTAGTCAAGTGAAGAATTGCAATTGACTAAATACGTCAATGGAAAGTTTATACAATGTAGAATGAAAGAATAAATATTATAAGTAAATTTGTTGTGCAAAGCTTAAACACAGTGATAAGTTTTTATTTTGGTAATACACCGAACAAAATTTAGTTGAAGTTTTTCAACTGTTTGTTCAATCATGGGCAGTAATGTTACTCGAAACAGTAAGGTGATAGAAAGTTGTCATCGTGTGTTAACTCTGCATTAAAAGTTTCCTTTAATACAGTTGACTAGTTTGTAAATTTTTGCAAACTCTAAATAAAAGTTAAAATTTGACCATAATTTGATTTGTGCGAAGACGGTGGGATATTGACCAGATATGATAAAATTTTAGCTAGATGATAAAAAGAATCTAATCGACTCTGGTGTGTAGCGGAAAAATGTGTCATGTGTAGTCTGTACTAACAAAATAAATGTAACGTAAAAACTGATCAGACTGTTTTTGAAATAAAACGGTATAACTTTGAGCATAATGCGAAGAGAGAGCGGCCTCAATACAGACTGACAAAGAGTCTAGGTGATGACCGTGAGCGTTGACTAGTTCGTTTACATGGGAAGTTGAACCACTCCTTTGGGTCTGTGGCCTATGAAATCTCTGCATTAATTTCACGAGAATTCCCAGGCTTTTGTGAGCATGCTCTATGTGTAACACTGAAGTGACATCCAAATTCCCGCTAAGGCTCGAGTGTAATGCGTTACAGTTCCCTTTTAATAATGTAAGGCTGTGAAGCATTTCTGTTGAAGGTGATGGACATAAGAATGCCTCTGACATTCCACCACCGTTACCTTTGTAACACAGACCGTTTTTTGAGGTGATACGGTGTCGGCAACCTAGAATTCATTGGTAGAGTTCCAGACAAATCACTTGATTGAGCTGCACGCCTTCAGTGACTCATTTGGATGCGACATTTGTTATGCATACCTAGCCACTGAGTGCATTATTGCAAAGTGCTAAGTGAAGTAGTTTCAGGGTGGAAAACGTTAGAGGTGGGCACAGTAAAACAAGAGACACAAGAAGTTTCTAACTGTTGTTCTGTAATGCAGAAGGTTTCAGGTTTTCGGGCCTGGGTTGCCATGACAACCGAAATCGGTGGTTTCAGAGGTTAGGGGATATGACTCAGAATCGGCCTAAATGTCAGGGATGAATCCATGAGTTATTTTCATTTTAATCGTATCATCGAAACTCATCACTACATAACCGTGTTTTTTCTCACTTTCTGCAACTTTCTGCTTTATTTCGACTACTTTCTTCCTCAACTATTTTTATTTTATCTTGGTGCCTTTTTGCCATGATGCACTGATTTGTAGTATGTTAGCTAGGAATGTTACGCCGTAATACCAGGTCTCATAACGATATTGAATAACAAAGTAGGCTGTATAACAGTTTGTTTGATTGTTGATCATTGGTGCACTTGCAGCACTGAATACGATTACAAAACCTAAAGAAAGAATAAGTTGGCTCACATCTTGATTGCTTTAACGTTTGCCTGAAGGGCAATAGCTAAGTCACTACTTTTTGTGTAGTTTTAATTAACTTACTGTTATTGATAGAACTGATTAAAAGGAAAACATCTAGCCTAACAAAGCCGAAACGAGAGGTTACTGCTTTTAGAAGACGGAATTGATGAATGTATCTGCTAGGTCTATACATTTTATATTTCGCCATACGCTTTCAAAATTTAATGCAAAACTTTGTCCTATGTTTAGCATCAACCACAAAGTTTCCATTCACTCACCTAATAAGAAATCTAGGTCTAGCTGTTGCTAAGATATTAAATCCTTCAGTTATTTGGTAATTCAAGCTATAGCTTGTAAAATTTTCCACTTAGTAAAATTTATCATGACTCAAACTTTGGTATTGTTAGGTTCTTACTAATCTTGAGTTTTCCTAGATTAAAATAATTAAAGTGATTCACAGTTATTCTTTGCAAAAACACTTCAATGGGATTATAAAGTTTTCATGCGCTTTCACAAATATAAATTCCTTTCCCTGAATAATACTAATATTTCATTATCCTGTGGTCACTTAACTTGGTTTAGAAGCATAAACTAACAGTTCGTTGATACAGTTAGGATCTCTATTGAAAAACCTTGATGTTTTTTTTTTACATATTTTACTTCATTCAGTGATATTTCACACTGACTGTATAGTGTTTGTATTTTGAGATTCTCCATTACAGTTTGTCGAAGGTCGTTTCTTATATAATTTTTGTTTGTAAAATTTAACTCTAAAATTATAGCTGTTTAAAAGTGAATGGAGAAAATTGTGTTAAAGATTTTGCGGAGATGAGATTGCACATTTTTACTAACAGAATGAATCTCTATATGTATGGTTACTACCCAAAAGCTAAGCTGATATGAGGCAATAGTTTTTTCGTTTTCCAAAGAGTGACTGTTGACGTACATAACTTAATTACGGCTTGCTTTCTTCCAGTGACTAATTAGACCCAGGTTAAATCAATGAATAAACGGCAGTTTTGTAATTAGATTTCAAAACGTACTGTTTTTGTTCCATTTGAGACATTATTATTTTTCCCTTGGGTTCCTAGTGGAACATACGGCTTCAGTAACACGCCTTCACTTCACTCTGTTCTCTGCAGTCTTTTCAACCTGGTGCTACGACTGCCCACAAGCTTTCATTTCTTCCTCACATGATCTTCTCCATGCCACCCTCAAATCGGATGCCCAACTCGTTGTTTCCCCTTTGGATTCCACTCGGCTGCCTGGCCTGGCGCATGATGTCCTCAGTCGGCCTTCTCAGTGTATGCCCAATCCATCTCCACTTTCTTCTACATATTTGTTGGGCGATAGGTTCTTGGTTGGTTCGTTACTCGACCTGAGTGAGTTCTTTGTTGCTTATTCCTTCTGGCCATCTGAGCCTCAGTAACGAGACAGTGTAGGCAGCTGTGGATGAATGTCTGTAGTTTGCTGAAAATGCTTTTCGCGACCCTTCTGTATCAGTTACTCATCTAATTAATGAGATGGTTTTAAGTTGTCTATTCTTATGAAATAAAATATGAAAATTTCCCTTTCTAATCTATCCATTTCTAACTTCTAAAAACAGACAAAATAAAACTATCATGTAGCAAAGTTTTCATCAGTATGTAAAGTTCAGCAAAACACCTTTTGCTTAAAAAAAATGAGATTTGAATATGTGCAGCTTGTACAGATTATTGCTAACAGCAGTTTGTATTACTCAACAGTAAACTATACCGCTACCGCCCACTGGATAGTATTCTTTTTGAGTCCTACAGATGCTTAACACACGCTTTTTGGGTACACGATCTACCCATGTCGTGAAATTTAGATAGCAAATTATAATAACACTAACCAGCTGATATAGGAAAGCGATAGTTGCTGTTTATTTCGTACATTTTTATTATTATAGCCGCCATTGTTTGTTGAGCTGTTTCATTACTGAACTGCAAATTATTATGAAGAATGATGATTTTTCTGGAAACTAACAATCAATACCAATGATCTCTTAGCGGTTTTCAGTACAGCTTGAAGTCAGCTGATATTCAAAGAGTATTGAAAACTATATATTTATTTGCCGAGAGAAAACACCAAAATACGATCCTAAAGGAAATAAAAGTGCATTGTTGTTGAGTTTGTAGGTTTGAATGCCTTCCTTATACTAATTTCAGGTTACTGGGACAAAAAAATTAATCCGAAAGACAGGATTTCAGGCCTTTTTACGATGAATAATCTTAGAAAAGCTCATCTTTTACACTTCATGCACAGGCATCCAACAACACAATGAAATGTGATAGAGTGGCTCTACTGAAGTCCAGCATAAAGAAAGGCATTGATCAAGCAATCTTTGTGCATTGAATCAATACCCAACACATGTAACGCAAATGACGCTGTCCAATTTCAGTGGACAGATTTATTTAGCCAACCATGAATTAAACATATATGAACAAGAACAATGACAGCTCAAAAGTTATACAGTCCTCTAGCAGTCCACCTCACAGTAACACAATATGAACATGGTTACCATCGCACATTAAAGTGTTAAACATGATGCCTCAAGGCCTGTGGCACATGGATTCTTATAGAGCTGCAGACGAAATCCAGATGATTACGGTAATGCCAACTTGTTTACAGAAGTTTCCCACTTGGTGACTTTTGCAGTCTTGAATTTTTGCTAATAGGTTTCAGCCTTTTTTTGATAATAATTTATACATTTTGTCGTAATATGTATGAATTGCCGTCAGGCTTCTTGAAATTTCTTGATTAAATTCCTCTGCCTTACCTTCTTCAGTATGATGATCCTAGTCGAGAGTTTGCTGCCAACCAGTTAACACAGTTTCGAGTTCTTTTTGTGCGAAATATCTTTTCAATTATGCGTGATTCGGTAAGTTGTCTGATAATTCTGCTGTTGTCTTACCTTCATTTTGCAATTAAATTGTGATGTCTCTTGCCATTAATGTGCTATTCAATGTCGTTTCATATATATATCCGTTTTCATAATTTAATATTCGGTAAAATATCTGTTAGATAAAACTAGTAGCACTAAAATAGGCGAACAGCAGTAGAAATAATCTTATTTTATTTCTAATTTGTCGGGAAATATAAATGTCATTTTCTCAATCCTCAGCTACATTCGAATTGACCATTTCTCGAACTTCAATTAGTCATCAAGTACAATTTTGTAAATTAAAATGAACTAGTTTCATCCTTCATCCTTTCCATCCTTCTTTTGAACTAGAAACCGGTTTAAAAGCAACTAAGAAGTGTATACGGGTGACCTTAATTTACATACCTATATAATTAAAAATAACATGTTGATTTGATTTCTTGTCTTTTCATTATTTATTTACCAGTTTACACCCATATCCAAGAGAAAGTATGCCAAAAAGGTGAAAAGACTGGTTGTAATTCTCCTTTATGAATAACTTCAAAGAAGAATCTGTATCAAATGACTGAATGCTTTTAAAAGCTCCATTGTTAGGCATTTAAGGAGCACAGAAAGTAACTCCAGAGTCTTGAAAGTCACCAGATAGTTAGTGTAAAGTTAACTGTAGTACTATCTAGACATTAAGAGACAGTTTAACTATATCCCAAAAGAATAACTTTTCATTTTAATAAATATTTTCTAATATTTGGATTTTCTAGCATAAATACAAATTCATTTTAGCTTTATTAATATATTTCATTTCATTCCCTTCCATTTTCGTTCGGCAAATTACTTTCAGCCACATATATTCTGAGCATGGCTTAAGAGGATGCAATAAGACAAAATGAACCCATTGACATATTCTGCCCACTCCAGTGAAACATATTTCGTGCCTGAGAATTATTTTCTTCTAATAATTTTGTTTTCAAGAATATAAAAAGGAGGGTAGTCATGAAAGCAAAGGCGAAATGAAACATTTAGGACTAGTTGACGTAATTGTATCACTTTTCATGGGATACAATCATGAATATAAGAGATGGAAAAATGAGTTGTAATATTTAGTCAGTATAATGTTGTGAGGATTGAGTTTCCCAGTAACAAAGGTATACAGTAACATACAATCTGTATATCCCGAAACAAATATAGAGAAAAGGCTTTTAGACTTAAGTTTACAAGTCATAGTTTTAGACATTCCGAGGTTTTGAAATGGAGTGCAGAAATTCCTGTAGACCTCTAACATGGCTGCCTATCACCTTATAAGTTGCACGAAATAAATATCTTTGGAATGGACAATAATTACTGTTAATTAATTAAATAGACCAAGCTTGACTTAACCACAATAATACAGATTTCTCCCGAGAATCATAACTATGCTGCTTATGTGTGCAGTTTACAGTATACTTCCGATTGAGTCTGAAAAAGAAAGTTCATTATCCAAACAAAATTTGCTTTACTTCATTTTATTTGCACCTGAAACCTGAGCGAGACTGAATTTATGTAAAGGGCATCTACGTTATCCAAATAATATGCACGTATGCAATTCTTGAAGCAAGTTACATATAACTAGCGAATCAACTTATCATAAAAGGTCAACAGGAAACACTATGGTGGTCTAAATTGCCTCATATTATCACACTAGTCTGTGTTAATAATTTCACAGAAAACATGTACAGTGATAAGTCTCAACTCAACCATTTCATGGTATTTTACCCAAAATTTACCAACAACAAGAATTTGTGTATTGAAGCGATGAAAAAGCATAACCTGTATTCAATTCTTCATTTAAAATGAAAAGGTGGATCATGAAGTGTTACAAGTCGGATGTGAGAACAACTACTTACCATTGATTCATGCATAGGTCGTACTACATGACAGGTCAGTAGAGGTATGAAACCGTGAACCATTGAATTGCCAGCCAACGGATGAATGATATCATATCTACTTTAAGAACCCATGGTTCAATCTCAAAAGCATTTATTCATGTGTACTGCTGAGGAGTCTGAAGTTAAGGCAATATAGACTTGCTTCCAAGTTTCCATGATTTCTACAACTTATTTCAATCAGTAATGAAAACCATTTTGAAATAAATAACCACTATCAATTATGATACTTTTAACTTTAATTTGGAAGTACCGTCCAACTAGAACTTTTCAAGTAACTCCCATAACCAAACATTCAGTTTATTTTAATCTGTCTAAATAAGAATTAATGGTTAATTACTAAAAGGACTAATCCAGACATTCGTTTGAATTACTGCAACTCACTCTGCCCAGAATTGTTAACTAATGTCAAGACCACCCAATCTTAAGTGTAATGTATTTCCAATCCAAAGAAATACACACCTTTTGACTTCTATTTCCTTACTACATTCTTCATTAGTCATGCTCTAAAAGGAGAAAGTTTTCTAAAATTGACTGCTTAATAAAATGGTCAACTAAATGCAGAAATAAATTTAATCCTGATAAAATTGATGGCAGCTGTTAGTTACTGATTTATGCTTTATCAGAGTTATCCTTGAATGAAAAGTATAAATGTGTAAAGTGGATTTCTTAGTGGTAGAGACTTTCGAGTGTACGTTTACTGTGCAGTGCTCTGCGTTAAACGAAGCAATCGAAGTATGCTACCTTGTGACTATTAAGTTTATGTCCTGGCAGAATACATATTTATGAAAGCAAAAATTATAGGTCCATCGCATTTCATCGAATACGTTTTCGATCTTAGAAGCTAGGTCGAAACGATATTCCATTTAAAACCCTGTTGCTTGGTCCACAAACAGAAATTTAAAAAAAATTTAGAATTTTCTACTACTCAACATGTTCCAAATTCCGAGGCGAGATTTCTTCTCAACATTTTTCGATGGCTTGTTGCTCACAAATGTGACTGTTTTTAAGCCAATCTCATATAAATAATGAAGACGTTTCTTGGCGGTATACATATCAACGTTTCTCTTTTTTACTCGTACCTACAGAATTATTTACTTATAAAACTTGTGATTTAATTCTTGTTTTCAACATCGTTTAATACTTTAGTGATTCACTCTTATTATCCTCCACCTATCTTCTCTGTGTTTGGTCGCCTCACACACATTGTATTCACTACAGTGTGGCTTTGAAGTAAATTTTTAATCTCTGACTCATACAGTGACAATTTCACTTTTTGACACTGAGATATTTTCATTTTGTTTTATCGAAACCAGCTGATCAAAATTAATGAAACTAATCTTTTGACATGAGAAATTACTGAGAAGAGGGATTGTTTGCAGTATCTGTATCTTAACTTGTTATGTAGTTTGGTTACATCTTCAGTAACTAACGCGTTGCACATATGACTTGAGCCTTATCAAACCTTTTGCGGTTATCATTTTATTCCAAGTAACATTTCTATTGTTCTGCTGCGCCGATAAAAAGATATTATTCGTTATAACCTGAACTCATTTGAGCGCAGGGGATCCGGCTAACAAGTCTTAAGTAAGACGAAAAGGGTTCCTTGGATTTCAGTGTTAGCCACAGACATGCCACTGATAGGCATTATTTATTTGTTTAATCACTTCTGATGACTGAACTAAAAGCAGTGCTACAGGTCTTAACTTTCAACATAAATAGCTGCAAACTTCTAGCTTTCGACTGAAAAAACAATCAAATAGGCCTAGTCAGTCATTCCGTTTCATCACTATAGAGTTTGTTACGCTGACATAACGACTGTGGTGAAAAAATGCAAAATGAAAGTTGTCCTTTTTTCTCTTCCTCTATCATCTGTCTTTGTTCTGTCCTATTTATTCAGCATCGTTTTTATACATTTATTTTTATTTTGCTGGTTGATATCATAAATTTCAACACCATGAAAATAAAAAAATTATCAAAATGCAATAAGCTAATTGAGTTTTCCTGCGTCGTCTCTAGCTTTGCAAAAAAGTAACCGATTAGCTGTTAAAACGCTAGTAAATAAGAAGCTTATGATACAATAAACAAAATAACAGGAAGTCGAATTACCTGAGATGAGATGTACGAGCGTTATGAGTGAGTTTTAGTAATCGATTTTTGCAGTAAAATGGTAGGAAGCTCTCAATTCCGGTTTTCGGTTTGTTGATGATGATAAATGGAAAGAACATGCGGCAATTCATAATATTTTGGAATTATAAAGCCAAATAACTATCCCTTACAATCAATGGCTTTGCCACAACATAGTCAAGTTACTTTCGACTACAAATAATACGAAGTGGTATACATGATATGGTTATCAAATGATAAGTAATATATTTGTTTAGGATGAAGTCTTAGTGAATATTAGTATTTAACATGCACAAAGAAAATAGCTATCAAAATGTTCTGCATAAATCCGGTGTTGCTAAAAATAACATTTGTTGACTATTAGGTTTTTTCAATGACATATTTTACTTTTCACTTCATGTGTAAGCAACTGTTATGATTACCAAAAATATTAGAAACAGTCTGTGGTTCAAACCACTTTCGCCTTCATGAAGTTATATTCTTTGATAAGCTTAAATATCCATCTGAGGCAAACATTTGACTATGTTACTGGCGAATCAATCAAATTTTATTCAGTTTGACTTTATGAGATTTATCCTTTCAGATTATTTTACTCGTAGGAATGCGTATTTTTATTCAGTGACTCAGTGACAGTCGATATAGTAGGTCAGTGTTTTCTTCGTTCATTGATTTGCATCATAAATGGAATTAAAATACACTCAACAACCACATACAGACTCTTGCTGTAAACAGTGAGCAAACTGTGTTACGTGAGGAGAAAACAACGTCACGTGACTGCCCAAACCTCAGTTGTTAGAATGCGGTTTGATTCCGCAGCCCATCAGCTGAAAGTCAAGTATCTAGATTGTCGAGCCATAGCTCCCTAGTTTCCTGTAGCAACTATCCTGAATATATCGAAAACTTTTCGGTAACTTTTTGATTTAACTATCATGGTAGTTAGCTATAGCCGCAGCTTCGAGAAGATGCAGACCATCTTAAAGATTTAGACCCAAATAGTTTGAAATAAAAGTTAAGGATATTATAATTCAACAGGAACTGTATGAAAAATGCAGTGCTGAGTTACTGAAAAATGCTAATAACTTCAAGATATATCTTCTGATTGTTCATTCTTACCACCAAACGCTTACCTCATATGAATCCATAACAGGATCATAACTTGTTCATTGGTTGGTTATTTCAGCATTAAACACGTAGACATGAGTTTAGTAGACATTTGAAGCCCACTCCCTCAGTGCTGTCGATCGCAACATTTTAAAAAACCTGTTTTTTATAATCTTTATCAAGTCATCGAAATAAAAAAAATTATTACTTGTATACTTGTAATGCTTATCGATTTTCTTTTTTATCCTTATACAATCCGAATTCTTATGTGATCTACCTTTTGATGATGAGTGGAAAGCCAGTGTTAGTTAATGGGATCTACCACTAATTTATTGACTCACAGATCATAATTAGTTCGTCTGTCAGTTTGTATTCTACTTCAGTAGATTTATGTATCCACATGGCATACAGTGTGCTCTTTGTTTCCTTAATGGAGATGACCTAGAGACCTTGGTGAAATCTATGAAATAACTTGATAGCATTTAATAAACTTGTAGTTTAATTCAGTGACCTTCATCTTTTTACTTGTTTACTAGAACGTAGCATAAAGTAGATGCCTAATGTTGTTTACTGACAACATATGCTTCTAAACTGTCATTCTGTAAATAACACATGAAAGTAGAGATTTTAAGTAGCAAGTGTATAAGTTATCCATTAGAGTACATTCACAATCTGCGTTACTGTGTCGTATAAACATTACTGAAGAAATGATTTACTTACTTTACCTAGAACAATGTCCTTTTTTATTACCTACTAAATGTTTCATAAAATATTGCCTAACTACGAGCGTTCTTTTCAGATTCAATATAAAAAATATGATGCAAAGTTTGCATTTTTCGGTGTATTGGATGTTTGCATTTTGCGAAATGATGGTTTCAAAATTATTTTGTTATACGTTTTCGCTACATGAATCGGACAGCCACTGATATCTTAAATAGATGTAAAGTCTTAAGTGAATGACATCTATCTATCTACCTATCATCTATCAAGTTTTCCATCTGGTCAGTAAGTTGAGCACTTCCTTGAGATGTTTGTATCGATGGAAACTGGTTGCACTCGCTTGAATTACGCGTATATCTTTTGTTCCAGATTTTGTAAAACATTTAGATCTACTATTTAAACAGAAGTTACTACTCCTTGCTTACATTTTTTACCATCCCTAACTGTTTGTAATCTTATTGATTTGTGTACGAGCATCAATAAATAAACCTGACATCCGTTGTACAAGAGTAGGTTATAGCCCCAGAGTAGCCAAGTGGAAAGCTGTCTAGTGTGAATTCCGGTGATTTCTAGGCTTGGGTTTCATTAAAAACACCATCACTCACAAGCTAGTGGTTTACGAAGCTGTAATGTTTACGAGTACATCGATGAATGCCTAAAAACACCGCTTCTTTTCGTTTCCTGATTCTAAGGAAAACATAATTTGAAAAGTTACTTAAATGCAGAAAAATCGTTCATCTTAAGTCTAAGATTTGACAAATGACAAGTTTATAAGCATTGAAAAGTTTCAAGTTTTTTAGCAATCTGAAAATTGTTCCCACTATCATGAAAAACGAAAATTATCTATTTTATCCCAGAGTTCATGTTGTACCAAGTTCGTGTTTTAATTATGCATGATAAATCATCTATTGGGTACTGTAGTTAAAGCCATCAATTCTTCAAATTTTACTCAACGTTTTACTTCATTTCTTATTTCATACCTTGAAAAGGCAAGAATATGAATCAGAAAATATATAGTTTTCACTATTGCTACTGGAGTAGCCTATAAATGTTTTGAATGTAGAAGAGACACTTATTAAAACTCTTCTGCCAAAGTATCCTAAACGCCTCGTGTTGCAGTAATTAAGATGAATATATTAATAATTGTGTGGTTTAGATTGATGTTTGAAATATCATTTAAGTATGGTGTAATACAGTTGATGACTGTTATTGTATTTCAGCAGCTCACTCACACTACAAATGTTACACAGAAGTCCATTTTTCTTTTCAGTTCGGAGATATTTTTTACTCAATAGTACTCAAGTTTAAAATATTTATAACATAACCTGCATGTGGCTTAAAGATATAAGAAAATAAATAAAATGCTCAAATCAAAGATTTCATAAGTATGGTGCGAATATGAAAAAAAGGAAATGAAATTTGATGCAGCCTTCACTCCACTTTTGCAAAATGCATTTTGGACTCCTTTAGATTTGTCTCATTCTTAGGGAGTGTGGAGTGACCTTTGTGTGTCTGCGAGTAGTGTGTGTGATTACAACAAAATTCCTTTGGCTTATTCGACTTAGAAATCAAGGTCAATATACTTTTAATTTTGCCTTATTGATTTTCTTCTGTATTTGACCTTCAGGTTTGCTTTCCTATTCGATCTTTTCTTCACTCTCCCCTTATCTTCTCTGTCAAATAAATACGTCAAGCACCTTTGTGATTAGATTGTTGGCAGCGTATTGTTTAAATACATGATGCCATTCAGACGAACTGATTGAAGTTCATGAAAGAGAACTAGTTTCAGATGAGTAACTGAATTAGCGCAAATTATAATACCTTTACCGAAGAGTATGGTGGACTAAAGAACCCTTTGTGATGTGCACTTATCTTTCAATGACAAAAAACATTATGACGGCTTCAGAAATCAGTGTCTTCCAAAACTTCAGCACTGACTGCTAAATATACTATGTAATGTTATAAAATTCTACTTAAATGGGGTTGCTTTTTTCTGTAAATAGAAATACACCTTATTTAGTTCGAATCTGTATGATATATTAACAACCAAATTCCTTATATTTTATGAAAAAATTGATTTTATTTAATTTTCCAGACACTGACACATCTTCGTTTCGTATCGCATATAGTAGTCGGCATTTTAATTGGTCTTTTATATTTTCGTATTGGGAATTTGGGTTATGAAGTGATAAGTAATGCAGCATTTGTCTTCTTCACTTTACTATTTCTTATGTTTGCTGCTTTAATGCCAACTGTAATGACATGTAAGTTTAATACTGATGATCTTCTTAATGAATATTCTTTTTAAAGAAACTGCATTGATTGCGACGGGAAAGCATGAGATGTTCATTTTTGTTTTCTTCCTAATCAATAAGTTCTTCTACTCGGAATCGAAACCAATATCAGCATTACGATTGCTGACACACTACACTGTTCATCAGACTGTTAATTCTATACGGCATTATTTGACAGTTGGGAGATTTCTCAGATCATTTTTTATTTAAAGAACTAAATGGATAATTTCACTTATATATGTGATCTATGATTCCATGTTCAGATAATCTGGCTGATTACCTTTCAAAATTAGATCATGGTAACAAGAAGGAAAATGGAGAATGTACATCTCAGCATGTGAATTAACTTGTTAAGTGAATATATGCAGGTTCCAGAAAGTAATGGTTCTTCATTTCCAGTAAGAAACGTGTTATCATTTCCTTAAAAAAGACAAGTACAATTGGTTGTGAAATTCAAACAACTAATACTGATGAAGTTACCTTGTAGTTATCACTAAAAGATTCTGTTCTACTAAGTCTGTTGAGTACGAACTAATTGTGAGGATATTTTGTCACCATTACGAATGACGTCTTTAAGTGTTATGTTTAATTAGAATTTGAAATAATTCTACAGTTATATTAATCATGGACTGGTATCGTTTGGAGAGCCAGTGAAACCCTGTGAGCATTGAACAACTGTTTCTTCTTACTATAGGAGTCTCCAGTGGTGCATATCCATGGCTTCACCGGGGATAGTACTCAGGACCTTTAAGTTTCATGAGGAGCACTTTACACCGAGCCACTGGGTGATATCCATCACGGAATGAAATTTCTTTTTACCTCACTGAATAAACTAAATACAGCGAATATGTTTGCAGCAGAATGAGAGAAGTGAATGCTTAACAGTGGTTCCCTAGTCCAGCGTAATATCGAAAAAAAGTAGTAAAAGAAGAGTATTTCATGATAAAGTTGGACAATGGTTAGCGGTGAAATCCATGACATGCGTTCCGTCTTATTTGTGACTCGTCAGGTCGATCCACCTGCTTCCCAGTGAGTGATGTTGTTACCACCTAGACAACATAAAACCTGAATTTACCACTTAAATGATGCGAACTATTAACAAACTAACAAACAGAGAGTGCTAAAAGTGGTCGAAGTTTAACAGAAGACATATTATGCATTCATTTACAATTCTAAGACTGATTTTGAATCATAAAAATATCCCCCATAGCTTATATCTAAAAATATTGATGATAATGATCTTTAACCTAAGGTCAGTACACTTTAGTCAGTGCCTCGGTAAAAATAAAAACCACATTGAAAAATGGTTAAATGATATTTATGTAGATAAACCAGGAAAACAGGAAAGCATAGCTAAACCGAAAAATTGACCCTACATTTGTTTTGTTTGGTGATGCTGGAAAGAAAAATCTGTTTTATTTGTACTAAAAGAAAATGATAAAACAAGTCACGTAAACCAAATAAATTTTATTTAATAGTGAAAGTGTTATTCTGCCACTATTTTTCTGTTTCCATCAAAATACTACGTGTACAGATGATAACTGAACAACATGATAGGAATTTTTTCGTTATGACAAAAAAAACACTGTGAAAGTATTATTTATATATTTAAATCTATGGATTATGATAACAACTATCAAAAAGCATATTCAGCTTACGAGAATAGGCAGTGAAGTGTAAGGTAGCTGCAACGCTATGCTACTTGCATTGGGATTTGTGCATTCAACTAATATTATTAAGTAGTAGTTAGTCTAGTGGGTTCAGGATGCACTTGATTTATTGGGGATGTTTGTACAACTGATATCACTCTATATTAGAAACTGTAACTGATATACAACTTTAAAATGAAGTCAAATTTATCAGCTTCATAAGATTTTCCAGCTCATTATGTGGTGATACTATTGAAGAATACTTTAAACAGATGAAAGTACTGTTATCTTTTAAAGGACGAAATTTATCTACTGTTACTGCACTACTCACAGACAACAAGAAGCGTGGATTTGAAACCCAGTATTTTAGGAATAAGGAAAGAAGTTGCTCAAAATAGCAGAGGTTGATCTATAGAAATTCTATTCAAAAGGCATGTTCATTCAATCAATAAACTCAGTAGGATCGAATTCCTCAAGAATGGCGATTTAGTTAGCATGCTTGAAAAATTAAATTTTTATGAGTTACTCATACTCTGTGCAGAATAACCTGTAACTGATAAACTCAGAAAGGAGTGGATCATTATAAATTTTTCTTGTTGACAAATAAGATTGCCTCTTTTCCAAGCCTTTATCTTTGACTGCATTTTCATGGGTGCTTTATGGATGGTGGACTAGGCCCAAATCTTTTAGCTCATATCGGATAGTGAAACTAAAATGTAAGTGTTCTCATAACAAAGATGAGTAATGGAAAATATCCGTGGTTCATGGACATGATTTTGCTAGTGTTTTTGCGCTTAGAGAACACAAAAACCGAAATATATGAGTTGAGTTAGTAGTATAAGACACGTTTCTAGTTGTTAAGGTTTAGTTTTTCCTTCATACCTGTTGGTCAAAATTTCCGTAGTTACTTTAATTCTTCCCATTACGATGATTATTTGATGTCTAGAATTTTCAGAATTTATCATTCACCACTGCGTTTCTTCAAGGTCTGACTCTTGAATAGCTTGAGTTTCATTTTTCATATTGCATAATAATTCAGTCATTTACCTTCTGAAACAACATTGAACATTTTGAGGTCAGGAAAAATGACCTCTTCACCGGGGAAATATTCACAAAATTTGCGTTCAAAATACCACTTACGACAAAATCATATGTTAGTGAGTTATCATGATCCCTGTGCCAAATGAAACAAAGAAATACAAATCAATGAAAAAGTTTGGAATGGAAATGGTAGAGAAGTCAAAATCAGTAATATGATGTTTATTCGACTACTTCATTCAGATTGTCACTGTGGTTGGTTGGATTCTTCTGAGTGGTTTTTAAATTTGTTATGTTTATTCATTGACCAGTGAGTTATAGTAATTGTTGGCTTCACTCAAATAAGCTTTTATTCTACAGTCTCACTTCTATTTATCCAGTGAAACCTATTGTATATGTCAGCTAACGTAGAAAATACTTTCATACCATTGATTTATTTTTTAGTTCCTCTTGAAATATCCATATTCTTCCGTGAACACTTAAACTCATGGTATAGTTTAAAGGCCTATTATTTGGCAAAATCATTCGCTGATGTACCATTCCAAGTGAGTTTTAACTGCTTTTAAAAATATTTCAATCAGGTAAACTGCTGTCTCACACTCTCTTTATCCAACTTTGCAGAAGGATTTAAATCACTCTGAGTTCATGACTCACGATTTCTTTTTACGAGGACCTTTTGTTTTATCGAAGTTATGGAATAAACATTTAACCAGTTCATGTGGATTATTTGTAAAAATGCGTATTATTGGAGTTCAAGTGCATATCATGAATAACTAAAGTTAGGAAAAAGCAACATAATGTTCCATTTTATAACTCAGTCCTCTTGATCTTTGCCTGAAACAAACTCACTGGTCACTATTTCTATATAAACTCTTGTGCGGATGCCTCAATATTGCTGGGTGCTTCAGTTGAGACAAAGATGATGGATCGTGGCTATCAGTGGGAACTGGAACGGACGTTTTGTCCTAATTTTTGTAAAAGTATATCCTACTGTCATATGACACAACCTTAGCATATATGTGTAGCTCAGTAATTCAAAGAATGGAATTTGAAGTTGTCCTGTTAGATTAAAAGGGTATCTCATTACTCATGTCACTGACTGGTGAATAACCACTCAATTATCTCGAGAAAAAAGGAGTATAGCATATCGTACAGAAATGCGTCGGATTAGGTTATCATAGCTCATCAAAGCATATAAAGCGAAAACTGAATTGTGCTTAACAAAATGGTGACTTCATGGATGAAAAATCAGTCACAATCGGATGGAAGGCGTTCAGAACTTGGATGCATTCGGAGTCTCTTATGCGTCATATACAGTCATAATCAGACTGCTATAACAAAAGAGATGATGACTGCACCTTGATAGTAGTTATCGACTATGATGCTTGCGGTTATGGAGCACGAGTAAGCTATGCATATTCTGCAAATCCCGTAAACAAGCAGCATTTGTTTATCAAGACAGTAAAATGCAAATAAGCTCATCCGACATAAGCGGACATTTGGTAATGAGTCATAAACGGAAGCTCTACTACACGGTTTTTCACTTATTTGGCTTAAGGCATGGTGGGCAAGCAAATATTTGGCATAACTTATCAACAACTATGCAAAATTTTTTTAAGACGGTAATGCAGTATTAATACATATACCTTGGTTTTCATCGTAAAATTATCAGTTACCCTCAGCATATGGCACGATTATCCATTTCGAAGCTAAACTCAGTGAAACTGGATTAGAACAAAAGCATTAACACCTAACATGAAGTCCTCAGTCATATGTTTTCATTTCTTTAAAGAGTAAACAGAGTCTGTTATACCTGTTACAGCATTCGAAGTCAATGGGTGCTATATAAAATCAAATGACGCGTTAGAAGCAGTCGTTAGGATCTCTTGATGATGAAGCTATGGATTGACTGCAGTGGAGCAGATGTATTCACATATTTTTTCCATCCTAATCATCATAAGGGATTTCGTTGTTGTTTTGCCTTTACTTCCGCTCATTTCGTGCCTTTCCACTGCGTTTGACGATATTTATTTTTATGTCTTCCATCTTGTTGCTTTCTACTTTGATGTACTGGTGTGTGTGATGTGTTATCTCGAAGTGTTATGCAATAGTGCTGGGTCCTAGGTTGTTCATCCGCCCTACAAGCAATAACTTAGTAACATGCTTTAGGTTTACACATTTCGTTCAGTTCATGGGTTCAGGGGAGATAGTTAATTCGCAAGTGATGATTAGTCTTAGAGGACGAAGAGATTTTTTTAGAGAGTTTGAAAGTATATGAAAGTAATTACACATATCGAAACTTGTTGAGTTTCCCTAAATGAATGTAAATCTACCAATAATCATGCACATGATTGCATAATGATTTTTGTTCATTTCTGTTTAATCAAGAGGTGTGAATATATGAGGACTTGTGACTTTTTTACCTGAATGTACGCAAATGTTTAATTCATACATTCCATCAGTGTTTACTTTTTTTCTTGCCTTTTGCTTTTAGATATTTTTTCCTATTGTTTATGCTAGTATCACCTATTGGATGACTGAACAACCAAAAGATGCTTTGCGATTTTTCCAGTTTCTTGTTATATCTGTTCAAACATCACTAGTCGGTCAGTCATTAGGTCTTGTTATTGGTACAGCAACATCATTACAGGTTAGTTAATTGGCTATTGTATATGTTTTCGATTTGCTTTTTCCAAAGTCCCATGTGAACAAAGTATGTGGCTCTTTTTGCATATCAATCGGTAGGTGTAATATCTATGCACAGTGAATCAGTGAATATTTGTTCACCTAGTTTTTCTTGCTTAGTCATACATATTCACTTGTACTAGCACACAAACTATATGAAGCAGTATGTTAAACCCAAAAGAATATTTATCCAGGAATAGCATTCATCTACACCAATGAAATCTAAAACTGAATTCTAGCTAACTTGATACAGTTCAGATCATTATTTCTAATTCTGGTTCCTTGTAAAAATATCTTACTTTTTCCGGTTATTTTCAACTTTTTCTTAAAACCAAGAACAGAGTAGAACTTAAGTCTACTAAAATCAGCACCAGTGGCGAAGTAACGGTTATGTGGTGCGATAATTTGAGTGCTTCAGGAGGTACAAGGGAGAATAACACTTTTCGAAGCTGGGAAGCTACTTACCCTTTATATGCTTGGGAACGAAAGTGGATCATCTTTTTGTAGCTTCAGCTTTGAATGGATATCCCTTTTATGGTGACGTGAAATTGTTTTTGAGAAGTGTTGGCTCGCATAGATTCGTGTACGTTTGTCAAACGTCGGTATTTATGGTCACAGGAAAATGTAAATCAAATAGAAATATTGTTAAGATCAAAAATTTTTGAATCCTTCTTTGAGTGCGCACAAAGAAGAGATAAAACACTTGACATTCTGACCTCGCATCACTTTCTTACTAAGAGTAAAATTTTACTGTCAAACCCCCATCAAAAAATGATTTATTCACTTTGAAATGACTGCTTTTATTATGCTTATGGCTGACAGGTTGCCTTGACATTTTACACTTCTTGTGTCAGATGAGTGGTAGGGATAGCTTTCAATGTTGAAGCAGATTCTTTTGCCAGAGTCCAGAGGTCAAAATGTGTTTTAACCGCTTGTCCACATTACCACCACTCCAATACATACATCGTACGTCCTAAAATCGAAAAATCTTATGTAGTAGAGGGCTTTTTAACATGGTTTCTAGATTCCGCTGACCAAGTTAACAAGCACTTCTGATTAGTGTCAGTGGATTACAATTATTCATGTCGGCTTCTAGTATATTTAGTACTAAAAGCTTTTCAGTAAGTGCATGGTATAGATGAAATAGAGTGTTGTTTCTCTTTCATCAAGTGAGCTTTTTCAAATTTTGCCGTAGGTTTTGAGATGTAGATTTGTTACACTGTTGTACCTAATCTGATTATAAGGAATGAATATGAAAAAATTCACAGAAGTAAGGAAACCGTTGATAAAAGTATTTCATCTTAATTTGATTAGTATGTGGAAATTTAGCTTCATTTTAGTTTTCTCTTCAGATAAGGAATGATGTTGAATGATCAAAATAAGAAAATTATTATTTATTAACATTCATGCCATAGTTGATGGGAATGTCTTGAAAGTAGTTGAGCACCTAGTCACCTTTAACTATTACATAAGCAAGTTTTAATATAATCCCAGCGGGTTTAGAAAATCAAAGCGAGATTTTTCTAGAGGATTCGCTGCGCATGCCACAGCTTCTTCAACAGAATATTCGGATTATTATAATACACCCGAATATTGTGTAGGATAAACAGCGAAGCGTTCCGAAAAACCTTGTTTTGATTTCCGAAACACGCTAGGATTGTGTTGAAACCTACTTATATAAAGTCATAATTTTTTTTAAAATTAGTAATATATGCTTATTTTTTATCTTCTTGTTGATCACGAGTTTCTCATTATTTCAATTAGACTAGTCTGACTAGACATTCTTTTCTCAAGGCTTTCTTATATCTACTATCCTGTTGTTTCAATGTTGAATAAATCACTCAGTTATGTAGTTTAAAGTATTCTGCCTTTCAACACTCGGTATGAATCAATAGACTAGTCTATCTTCTACATCCTTTGCCTTGTGATGTGGGTTATTTATACTAAAGATATAGATTTATTGTCGTCAAGGTTATATGACCGATTCCTCAGACAGGACAATGTATCATGTCTCATAGCACTTATTTTTTTGCTTTGAAAAATAACTACTTACATTCGTGTTTACTGTTTATCAATCATATAAATCATTCTTGCTGAATTATTTTTTTAGTTCATTTGAAATGTGATCTTGTCAAGTCATGGAAAAATTTTTGTTGTTGTTGAAAATAACAAGTTCCTAGTTTTATATAAATATTTTAAAAAAGAAACCGTTCAACGGTTTCGGCGTTCTTCTTCTTTATCATCCAGTCGTGAAAGCGTGTCTTTACAACACTATTTATATTTATATACTAATGGCACGTGTACAAACTTCATCAAAAATACCTAAGTAAAATGCATAAATGCAAACACGGAAAAGTAATGAAGATCAGAAGTAAAAAGTTAAAAGCCTGATTTTCAGAGTGATTTTATAAGCTATCAGCCGACTGAGAAAGTAGTGAACTGAAAAAGTATTTGTTGGTATTTCGCTTCTATTACAGCTAGTGAAAGGTAATTGTTTTAAACGGCTTTCCATATTGTTGTTGAAGTTTCTAGCCTATATGGAAAATGGTTAACTGGAGAGAAAACTGGCAAACAGACCGAAAAACGAAAACAGCGTAAAACCCTTCCACACAAATGCATCACTTTAAGTTGCCGCGATTAACAGTAGCATTCAAAGAACAAGTGGTTGGAGGAAGACTGAGGAGGAGAAGGAATATGAAGATGAAGGATAAACAGAACATTCAATATTTGGATGACAACAAAGAGTGACTGCCTCAGTACCACTGACACATTTTTAACCATTAATCCAAGAATTCTTAACAACTGATTCCCATCGTCTCCAGGACCTCAGCCATACGGTCTATTTTTCCATACGCTGCCCGGTTCAGAAATCAGGGGTTTCACGAATTAGTTTTACGCTTCAGTATTGCTATCCTGAACCCCGTTCCAACATAATCCATCTTCTTCTAGCACGGTACGTTGAGGTAGGCTATGACTGGGCATGCATAGCAAATAATCAAGCTACTTCACATGATTAGGGTTTACAAACCCGTCAACTGACTTGCCCGTCTTACCTAGTACCATTTACCTAGCGTCGACAATGCTCACATGGTAATTCAATCATACCTGAACTAAGCTGTAAATATATATGTGGTCAAAACTTGTAGTCTCCTCGAATCTCTTACTTCCAGTGGCTATCTATCGCAGTCATAAAAACTAGACAGAATGAACTGCAACGCAGTATACTCTCTTTAATAGGTACCCGGATATATTGCAGACCCCAGAGATACTACAAGTTGGCAAATGCCAAACGGTCTATCTATAACCGAGATGAGATTTCACAAGCAGCCAAGCGGTTTGGGTTGATGCAACTCCACAAGTACATGAGGTGGTCAACTCATTCAGTGAATTCACTCCATACCGTCAGCTAAGAGTTGATAATCCTGATCACTCTTGTAAACAAAATAAATAACCTTTAATCAGCTGGAGGTATTTCGCTACAGAAGGAAATTATCAGGAAATATTTTTTTAGTGCTTTTCTTTCAGACTTGACCGCTCAAGTGTCTTACGTCGAGTTTTTACGAAAGTCTTCTCTACATAGATTAGTGTGCGGATATTCATAAACTTTTCACTTCGACTGTATCATGAAAGCGGTGTTTATGAACATGAGACTTTATAATATTAGTGTAGAAGTTGTAAACTGTGGTCGAATATCATTCCGTATTAGATAATTTTATTTGATACAGTACACATTTATGTGACCTTCTAATCACAGTTTAATACTTATTATCAAGTAAGGAGGCTCAGTTAGCTTTGGTTGCTTATTTCTTGGGGTTTTTCTTCTGCTTGTTGTTTTATTCTACTGGTAGTAGGATTCTTCGTATTTCTACAATACGTGATACTATTGTTGTTATGTGTCAAGTATTCAATCAGTGAAATAAAATCCACTGACAAATTGCACCTTATTTGAAACTACATTAGAAAATTATATACGTTTTAATGTAAACATGGCGTGCTTAGATTAAACTTAACCTGGAGTTCAGCTTTTTTCAGGATACACTAGAATATATTTATGTTGACTTACTATGAAGTCCAGCCAACAGCTACTATGAAACAACCGATTTGGATTTCTTATTTTATGAAGAAAACTGCTTGCTTGATGGAATACGGAAAGCTAAATGATAATTTCAATGGTTATCAGAGTAAAATTCAGAGTTACCCTTAACCTCCTTCTCTTACAGCAGACCTTGTCAAGAAGGTAACCTGAAGGAAAATACATCGATTTCTAAGCAAGCCAAAACACACGATAGGGCGAACCAGAGTGACAATCTTAAATTATATCCATGCAGATTTTCTTCATTGTGAAATGAATCTGTGTACTGGAAATAAATATAGACTAAATGTTCATTCACAAAAACAATTACTGCCTGTGATCATATCAGAAGGTGGGGTAGTAGTCAAATTTATTGGTATATATGTTCATTTTTGTTAGTTTGTTCATCTAACATGATGTCATTTGGAGATAAGAACTAGGCTGTGTCATAATTTTTGCATACTCATTAGGTGTGGTATGTATGAAAGTATTTTCAGCAACATACATTAATTTCTGTTTGTCAACATTTGACTCATACGTTCGCGTTGTTCAAATCAATAACATCCTTTCTCTTCAATATATGAACTGTTGTCTATAGACTCTTCCATGAGGTTTAGCTAATCCTGAATGTTCATTCAGTGTAACCTTGAATGATCCTTAAGTTTGACCTATGTAACTAATGGGAGAGTCAAAAGAAAATATTTTATACACTGTTTTGTTTTTATAAGACCTTTACTCCTCCAAATGATTCTGATAAGATTTCCTGATTTGAGAGTAATTAAGAAAAATGCTTTACTTAGATTTCTGCGTATTACTTCAGTGTTACCTTCACATTATGACAACATAAGTGTCCTTTTTTTATAATTTTCCCTGCCTAACACCGTTGATATTTT